CAGAAAATAATTTTTGCGGTGATAACTATTACATATAACAGCTGATTCATGACGTCACGGATCTTAAAACCAAACTGATAATCAGACTTGCTTGAACGAATCGGTAAATACTAATCCTAAGTGGCAAATACCATTTTCATTTGGTTATTCGCTTGAATTTGATTATTAAATCAACATTTTTGATGCAGTTATTTAAGCAACCAAAATCTTGGCCCTTTCAGAAGAAAAAAGATACAAAATATTTATGAAGATGACTAGTTTATCTGGATACATATATGTATTATGCAATGAGTGTTATATAAAATATAATCTCGTGTGATCAATACCTTTCATGGCAGGCTACTTCATATGCTATGGGAACTCACAATAATGAGTTGGGCGCAATATTGATGTGACGATCAGATCAAAAAATATTACTGATATACTCGGAGCAAGGCTGCATTAATGGATCCACATCCGTTCAGAGGGCTCGACAAACATCCCTTCCTTCATGTCCGAAGAGGACGTAGACGTTGACAGCCCGTCGGCCTCTTTTCCTGTTCTTATTTTTTACCTGGTCAGCTTCCCAGCATATAGTTCTGTCTCGTTTTATTACTTGACTTTTTGGTGGTTCGCATTCCTTCAGCAGTACCGAATCCTCCCCTTTTAGCTCCCTGCAAGCAACCTCTAGTGTGTTTGACGATTCTGGTCTCTCTCGTGTCTGTTGCATAGACTATGATTCCAGCTCCTGCTCTGCTAATTGCTTCTGTTAATTACCTGGGCATTAATGTGAATTTTAATCAATTTACTTCCCGCTGACAGTGCGTGTTTGACAATTCTTTTCACAAGTGATTGACAAAATAAGGTAAGCTGCGCCGTCTGAGAATGAGGAAGAGCAACTATAGAATAAACAAATCAAAATCTATAGCTAACGTTATCAAATGAAACTGACTAATGTCATTAATGGTCGGCGCAATCATCAACGGCCACTCAAAGTAGGGTGCATGTTGTATATTTCTTACACCCCCTTGCTGCCACCTTTGCACTATAATATAGTATTCATGCATTAAGTTCAGCGACAAGAATTTCAATTTAATAGATTGACATGTTCAAAAAAGAAGTAAGGGGGTACCTACTGCTGTATATTATTGAGGAATTTGATATGTATGTCAAATTCATAAAGGTTTTTTATTCATGCTTATGTTTAACATAGACGCACACAGAATAATAATGGTCTAAAATAAAACACTGCATAAAAAATTAGTCTATTTTATCGGCTCAGTATGTTTCACGCATTGTTATATACAGGGAAAACCAAATTGTCTGACGGCTTAAGCTTAACGGGTACGAGAGAGGAGCGCGAGAAGTGTGGATCAGCAATACATGTCAGAGAAGAGCTGAAGGTCACGACCACGTTTTTTAGCAACGACGACGCTACAATAGGTTAGGTTACTGTCAAATCCAAGAAGAAGGTCTATCCGAACATTTAAATCAATATATGGTTTGCATTTTGATTAGAATTATTTGTTTTAATTTTGATGCGACTTTGATATGCACCCATGGTGATAAAATCTACACAACCTGAGTTATTGTTACATTTTGCGATAGCGAGCCGTCGAAAAATGTCACAAATATTGTTACGCAATGCAAACTATCACTGCTTCCGTGTACGCAGGTGAAAACAATAATTCAACGCTGCAAAAATTGTGGTGATCCTGATCTTTCATTTCGGTCTCAAATGGAGCACCGTTAGGAGTGCTCAAAAGAAAACCATTATTTGGGCGTAAAGAATAAACTAACGCATATTTTAAATATGCATCTTAATTCAATGAACTGGTGTAACATATGGACAACACGGCCGATTGCCGCGTCAGCGTTGCTAGGCAACGCGACGATGACTTTTGATATCCAGCCCACTTCTATATCTTTCTAGCATCACTTCTCTCTCGTACACATTTAACTCAAGAAATCAGACGAATTTTGTTTCCAGTGTACGTGTATATTTTCGAAACAGTTGCATAAATATAATGCAACTCCACAAATGAAAATGTGATGCGACAGAAACTGAATGAAAACAATAGTTGTCTATATAAGTTTGTGCTTTCAAAATTCCTTTTGCTACGCTTAAAATGATCAAGAAGCTGAGAAAGTTTCATGGTTAGTGTGATCTTTCAAATGATCCTGCAAATATTCTTTTACTCTACTCAAAATAATTAAATTTGCGTGATCACTGATTTTAAAGTAAGATTAAATAAGGTCTTCGATTTTGGTATTTTCGAGTGCGAATCACAGCACTGGTGTTAATTACAGATCTTAGAATTGACTTGTACCGCATGGGCCAGATGTCATATTGGGGCCAAATGCAGATGGCAGGTTCCTTTGGCTACAGCTATACGGAAAAGGTGTTACAGGATCCTCGAATCCAGAAACTCCTGAACTCTAGTGAACAGTTTGACTTGGTGGTTACAGAACATTTTTTCAATGAGCCCTTTTATATCTTCGCTCACAAGTTCAAGTGTCCCTCTGTATCCTTGGCACCAGGACCTATGACCGGATTCAACAACCATTTGATGGGAAATCCAGCTCCATATAGCTATGTGCCCAGTATACTAGCTGATTATGGGATTGATATGAACTTTTGGCAAAGGATGAAAAATACCTACATCAATTTACTAGGTAAGAGGAGAGTGCAGTCTACGAAAACCCAAAGTTCTCCAATTTTGGCCTTAAAAACAACGTTGACACCGCTTCAAAATAAACTACTCACAAAACACTCTTCAAGGTTTTGTAGAGCAAGGTCTTAACTTTCTATGTAGATACTTGACGATCTCAAAAATTATTATTTTCAACCGAAATTTAAGCATTGAATATACCTGCACGGTCGCCTTATGTGTTAGGCCAAAGTTGACGAACTATCGGTTGCAGACTATACATGCAACGAAAGACTCAAAGTTTAATCCATATTATTTGGTATTGAAAAAGATAAATATATTATCATTCAATAACAATTATATCTTAATCAGATCCTTGGCGAGTAACGTTTGTTTTAATAGAAATGCACCTGGCTGAGCACGTTGCGATACGAGTACATGGATCTATTGGGAGTGTAAGTTCTACCCGTCTCTATCTCAGAGTCTCGTGTACAGTGACTTATAATTTTTATGTTTGTGTACAGAACTGAACGTATTCTTGAAAAAAAGGCCCCATACACGAGGTCGGTCCGATAAGTACTTAGTCTACAAAATAAAAACGAAAATTTTGGAAAAGTGGCTATTTTTTTCTCAACATAGTCTCCTTTTAGCTCCATATAGTTGACGCAGCGATGCTCCAACTTCTTTAACCCGGCTGAAAAATACGTTTTCTGGAGTGCAAAGTAGGCCTGTGTGACGACGATAACCTCCTAATTCGACTCAAATTTCTGCCCGGCGAGTGTGAGCCGGTGCTTTGTCATTGTATAAGACCTTTTCTTTCCTTTGTCAAATGGGGTCGTTTTTGGCATAGTTAGAGCCCTGTGACCATTTTGCCCTTCTCCAGGTAGTCGACTTTGTGAATCCCAGAAAGCGTTGGCCACCTTTTCGGCCGATAGGACAGTCTTCGCACTTCTTCCGAGCACGTTCGCCGAATGAAGTCCACTGTTTCGACTATTCCATAGCCTCTGGTGTGTATCAGTGGATCCATACTTCCTCAAAGGTCACGAAACGACGCAGTAACTACTTCGGATTGCACTTAAACAGCGTCAAACACTGATGTGAGGTGGTCTCACGGTTGCGCTCATTGACCGGTGTGAGCAAACGCGGTACTCATCGCACAGAGAGATTTGTCATGCCCAATACTTCATACAGAATATGACCCACGCAGTTTTTTGAGATGGCTACTGTCTCAATCGGCGGTCTGCCAATACGAGATCGTGGAATTTTGTCACGTTATCCTCCGTGGTAGCCGTTTTCAGGCCACTGACCGATATTGTTCTTCTTTCGTTTTTCTAAAATCCACTGACACGTCCGTCAGTAGCAGACTGCGAGAATGTAATACACGATAGTAAATTACTCTTGCGATAGTGGCGCCATCGGGCGGTGAGGATATAAGTATTTATCGGCCCCCCTCTCACAAGTACTCACTGCAAGAACAACGATGTTTTTAGTCAATATAGAAATAGAAGTAGAGAGTACCCTTAGCCTTATTTACGAATTTCATAAGGGTAAAAGTGCGGACGAGGATACAAGTCGTAGATGGTCCCCAAAATTTGAAAGTGGTGATTTTGAGTTAAATGATAAAGCGCGTTCCGGTGAACCTCAAAAGATTAGCAAGAGCTACTTGGTCAGTACAACAGACTCAATAGAAACTCGCCGATAAGTTAGGCGTTAGGCTATTCCAGATATGCGCTAGCAAGGATTCAAAAAGAAAGGAAATGGATGGACGAGAACCACGTGAGAGGCACATAGATACGTGTCTCTCGTTGCTTTCAATGTACAAACGGGAAAGTTGTCTGTGGAAGTTAGTGACTGGTGATTAAAAATTGGCATATTTTGAGAATCTCAAATGACAAAATCATTGGCTCAATGGCCGACAACATCTACATCTAAAGGCAATGTTTTCGGAAAAAAGTGACTACTCTGCATATGTTGGGACGAATGAGGTGTACCGGGAGAGAGTGTTACTGCTGAGCGATACTCTTTTCAATTAAAAGGCTTGACGGAAAGAATTCAAGAAAATAGGTCATATTCTGGACGTGGATATAGACCAGTGATTCTGCACCACAACAACGCTAAGCCTCATAACATCAAAAAACTAAGCCTTCTTTCTCCGTGGAGTTCATCAGATACCTGAACGTTGGCAAACGAGCAGACAAGCTAACGGTGCCTATATTAATTAGGGTTTGTGTATATTTTTATTTTGTAAATAAAGAAGTATTGTTAAAACGGAGTAGAACTTATTTGGACAACTGATAATAAAGTTGTAAGTGACGATTATAAACATCTAACGGAAGCCGTTTTAATTTTTCAATAGCTTTAGCCGAATTTCTAACATGTGGTGCAGAGAATTTGTGCTATTGTACTCGTATACACATATCAGGACTGGCCCCCAGTAACTCAGTAATTATCTTTGTCATGATATTGCAGTCACTTTTTCCTACGTATGCCATTAGAATGATTTTTAAAGCGCAATTTTCTCATATTTATACTGAGACAATGCTATATTTTTAAGTTGAGTTGGAAATTCCAAATACTATTTACAAATCGCTCAAAACATTTGAATCGTCAAAATCTTCATTACAATGATACTGGATGTGTGTATCGATGTGTACCAGGCATTCTGACACTATAGGCACTTGGAATAGGACCTTATGCTTTTTTGTTTCATATATGCTATCTTCAATCAGTAGCGGACTAAGCACATTGGAGGCCCAGGACGCCACAACTCAATGAAGTCTCCATTTTATAAGAAGTTGGTCATTATATAAAGGGTAACAAATTAGTAACACCGATGGGTGAAAAGAATCATTTCCAGTAACTCCATTAAAATCTATTTTCCTATTTTTCCTTTCAGTTGATGACATGGATAAGTTAACCAATATTTGTTGGTTCATTGTAGAACGAAGACATTTTTTGTAAGTTTCAGCTTAGAAAAACTTCTCTTGTATTGATATTGAAATAAAAATAGTCATCAAGCATTGTAGTTTCAGTGATAAACGGGGAAATGATTCACCAAAGTCCCATTCAACAATAATTCGGAGAACTTCTTGGGAAGTCCATCTAGAACTAGCTTTGATACTTGTATCAGTTGCCAAATATATTTCACTTAATAATTATAAAATGGAATTTTTCAACATTTGTACTCCCACTTATTCTGGAGGCCCGAACGCGCTGCCCGTTCCGCCTACTTAGTTCGCCATTGTCTTTTATACCTAAAAAGGCCGATTTACATTTCAATAAGTACAGTAGCGAGTTAAGAAATCAGTCAGTTGAGTATTAAGTAATAAGTATTAAATGGCGTCCAAACGTACGCGAGTTAAGTAGTCATAAGTTGCCGTTCCAAGTATAGGACTAGTCGCGCCTTCGGTTGTTTTTTCCTTCGAAACGGGAAATCCAGAAAATGTACGTTGATTTATTTAATACCAATGTGCGTGCTATAATAAGAGAAATAGTATCAATACTTTTACAAGTTCTTGGCTGTATGTCGATCTGATACTTTTTATTTTAGAGATAGCCTCCTTCGGGCCGAAATCACTTATTTTCATGACCACACAAATTTTAATAATTGCCGCATCTCTAGCTAGTTTATTGCGGTAATTATTGCATTTTGTATTAAATAAACACTCATGTTTAAGGTATTCTTCTACAAATGCAAAGGTAGTATTATCATACCACTTCATTTTAACACGACAAAATAATAACACGTGGTCGCAGTGCGCAAACTTATGGACTGTACTAAACTCAGCCGTCTACACGTCAGCCAGTTAAGTTGGCGGGGGTGCGGGAGACGCGAGGGAGGGGGACACTTCGCACTGAACTCGCCGAAAAATAGGATAACGATCTATTCAAGTCAACTTAATTAACAACTTATAACTTAACTCGCTTTTGCCGTTCAAATGACAATAACAACTTAACTCGGCGATGACGCAAGTTAACTCGCTACTGTACTTATTGAAATGTAAATCGGCCTTGAGCTGCAGAATAAAGCTCCAGATGTATACGTTATGCCTATTTCATTTTAAAGTATGGTATATCTGAAGTCACTTGAAATAGCATAAAAACCTTTGGTCGGCGCGTCCTTTGTAATTTCATGACGTATCATAGGCGTGCGGTGATTTATTTAGAACGATAATAATAATGTTTTTATATCACAATAAATGGATTTTACTATCTTCTTATTTTTTTGATTGGGAATAAAAAATACTTATATTGGGAGTTTAATTTATGTTGACTGAAAGTTAAGAAATGGAAAAATTACAGAATTCCAACGTTTGACATAGGCAAATATTTACATAGCATGTAGGTATATAAAAAGGTATATAAAGACTTACATTATAGGTATTTATATATCATCCTCGCCTTCGGAGCTGTCGCTAGAGTCATCTTGTAGAGGAATTACAACGGGATTTACAGGAGGCAAAACACAATATTCATTTTCTTTTTCAATAATATGCCTAGAACACTGCTTCCATAGGTCTGTGTCAGGAATATGAGATACTGCATCTCTTATTGTGGCCAATAGCGATTCACTTAATTGAGGGGTCTGATTATGTTTTCTTACTTTTTTTTTTAAAGCAGCCCAGACCAACTCAATCGGGTTAAAAATGCAGTAATAGGGAGGTAGACGTAATACTTCATGGCCCTTTTGCTGAAGCAGATTGTCAACAACATACTCTTTTTCAAAGTTTTGTCTTTTAATAAGATCCAATAATATGGCTTTGGTTGATTTTTGTGGTATTTCCATTCCCTTATCCTTCATAAAATCAATAATGTCTTGTTTTTTTGTGCCTGTATTCGGAATTTTGTTTTTCTGTCGGGAATGGTATGGCGCATTGTCCATAATAATCACTGAATTTGGGGAAATGTTTGGTATTAACTGCTGGTCTATCCACTTTTCAAATAAGTCGGAGGTCATGTCCTCATGATAGTCGGCACATGATTCTTTGACATTTTTGGCAGATAACAGCAAAGCATTAGGTATAAATCCATTTTCACTGCCAGCATGGAGAATAATGATTCGTTTTCCATGGTTGCATGGTGCATTTAAAATGCACTTGTTGCTGTCGTCAACCCAGCCGTACTGCACAACATCATGGGTATCATACCACGTTTCATCCAGGTAAATCAGATTTCTTTTCTGCTCTCTATAGATTTTAACTTTGTGCAAAAATTCTTGGCGCAATTCAACGATTCGAGACGACTCCATAATCGCCATTCTTTTATCTAATTTTTTGTATTGAAAACCACACAGTTTTACAATACAGTGCAGTGAGTCTAAGCATTTGTAATTATAAAAATCTTCAGGATAATCTTTTAATTTATCCCGTATCATTTCCAACGTGGGCACCAAATTTTCTTTATAAAATCCGTATATTATACGACGAATATTTTCCTGAAAATCCACCTCTATTCTTTTTAATTTTTGCCCTATGCGCTTTCTGTCGAAGGAATGGTTGACTACATCTCCCCTTTTTATAACCCGATAAATGGTAGACCGACTGATTTTTGTCAGGATACAAATTCTGTTTAAAATTTGATTTTGCGAGGAATCTGGATTTTCGTTTTTCAAACAATCATACATATTTAGGATTACTCTTTGGGTCTGTTCCTCTAAATCTTTATGAAAGAATTCTGCCTGCACAGGTTCATCAACCATCTCCTCGTGGCTTGGAGCATTTTCCCAAGGTCTCCAAAGAGCCATATTTAGGACACACAAGAACAATCAACATAACAATTAAATCAACAAGTAAACTGAGTATTCAAAAGTCAAAAACACACAAACTAATAAAATCTATGAAAAAACACGGACAGACTAAAGAAAACACGTTTATTCACCGCTACACGGCACTGGCTAAACTGTTTCAATTTTCAGTAGCCACCTGCACTTTTTCGGAGCTCTGAAATACACGCTTTCTCATTGGCTATGTCCGCGCATAGGCGTGCTTTACTCCACGTGGACCGGTGAAACTGCCTTTGATCTTATACGGGGGATATTTGCTGCGAAATTTGGCGATTTTTGCAGCAACAGAGCGTGTTAAATATAGATATATAAAACGCACCCGGTATTTCACAGTGTTTCAAGTGACTTCAGATAAAGTATACCTTTTAATTTTATTTTAAGATATTTTTGTTATATAAATAATGAATGATCTTGGCATAAAATGATATGGACAGATACGAGATCTGTAAATTAAGTGATGAGACTGATTTTTTTATCTTCTTTTTATTAAAATATAATTGTGATTTTATATTGTCACCCTCAAACTTCCTTCTGAAGCCACACAGCGCTGGAGATGATTCTTCCACTTTTCATAGCAGTGTTAGCTCTCCGATACAGAAATACCCTTCAGATGGTCGGTTACAGTCATTTTAATGTTTTCGACTGTCCCAAAGTGAGTTCGCTCGAGGTGATTTTTCAACTTCGGGAAGAGATCTGAACGCACACAAGATCTGTCGATATCCCCATCGCTTCTTGAAAATGAAGGCCTTCCGCTTTGTGGTTCATCTTCAATCGACTTTCCCTCTTCTGAAAATGTCTTAAACCACCGAAAAACCTGGGCTATTGAGGAAACACTACCTCCGTAGGTCTGCTGAAGTCTTAGCAAGGGTTTCCGTTGCACTGTGCCCAAGTCTGGAGCAAAACCTGATAGCTCACCGGTGCTCAAAATTGACTTCATTCTTGTTTTTGACACAATAGGAAAGACTGTTCCACAAAAAAAAAATCACTACGGACAACCAAATGACTCCACCGAGTTCAAACTTGTACTGAACGTCGATCACGTGTTCTTCTGCCTCCCCTTCAAGCCTGGCGCCTCCAGTGCAGGTTGGAACGCTACGTTGCCAGACTGATCACTTAATTTACACACCTCGTATATTGGACTCCCATGATATTTTAGGCGATTTCTTTGTGCACTTCGAGCTGTTGCCCAACATGAACCGGATTCTCCAGACATATGTGCCAGACGCACCACCGTTGACCGATATTATCTATAACACTAGCTTAATGTTGCTCACTTCGCATTCAAGCTTTGGAAATCCAGTGCCCCTGCAGCCTAATATTAAAGAGATCGGAGGTCATCACATTTTACCTCCCAAGGAGCTCCCTAAGGATATCAAAGAATTCCTGGATTCTGCTAAAGAAGGTATGAGGTCTTTTACTATAAGCTGACTTCCCTTTTAATCCTTTAGCATCAGGTTTTAGAAAAAAAAAAACAGTTTTTCAGGAAATGCCTTACTTATACACATGGTGTCTCGGAAAAGTGCTATGTCATGTAATGCATACTATTTAACGTACATTACTCTAGTCAAGAACTTGAATGTTATGAGCCATTTGATCACATGTAATTTAGGATTTTTAAAAAATCATAAATAAGTGTGACAAACCATATACATTTGGAATCATAAAATCACTATTATCACTCAAATTATACAGTGCTATAGTGCCATTTCATTTGAAAAAGTACATCTCTATTCCATAGCACTTTCCTGAGATATTAGGTGCAAAATTTTCATTAGATCCTACATCTTTTGTATTGAACATTTTTTCTAAAAGTTAGACGGGGGTTCAATTATGTTTTTCTCCTTACCGTGAAACTTATAAGGAGGAGTTCAAAATTATCGAAAACGTATTCGTATGTTGAGTTTTATGGTTTTATAAGTCATAGGCATAGACAACCGAATAATCTGTTAAAGACAATATCTTTAGTGGCATTTCTTTGATATAAATAGCATCACGAATATCAAATTTTTAACTTCCACACAATGATTCCAACAAGAAGCTTCTGACTATCCGGGACTGTCAATACAGTCATCCAACAAATTGGGTTATGGACTGAACTGATCTGGTGCACTGTAAATGACCGTGCAGAATTGAAATCATTTGTAACTAAAATTCGGCATTTACCAATATGATTCGCTACAGAGATGGTTCAAATCGAAGCATTCACACAGAGAATTCACTTCACGAAGATTACGGATATGTTTTGCAGAATACAATTATTTCATACAATTTTTTGTCATGCTAATTTTTCATCCTATGACGTTATTGTGGTTCACTCTTCCAAGATTTGATGATCGAAGTTGAACTATGGACTGACATATAGACGTATTTGCTAACCTCATTCAAATGCCTATGTATTTCTCATATCTGCGTCTTATTGTAGGAGCTATTTTATTCTCAATGGGGTCAACCCTGAAGAGCACAGACTTTGCAGAAGACAAGAAAAAGGCAATACTAAATGTTTTCTCCAAGTTAAAGCAGAAAGTATTATGGAAATTTGAAACTGACCTATCAGACAAGCCCAACAACGTAAAAATTATGAAATGGTTACCCCAAAAAGATGTGCTAGGTAAGTAAACGGATAAACATAAAGCATATACCTATTTATACAGGGTGTTCCAGAATAAAATGTAGTTTCTCGGACCCATATAGTACATAAGAAGTATCTTACAGAGATACAAGCCCGTGTAACTTTTGAACGACACTGTATAATTCGTTCAAACTTTGAAAGCTTAGTAACCAATTGTGGTATCTTATTGTAGTGTCAATGCAAGACAATTAACTTATTTTGACAATCAAGGGCTAACTGACGCTAATGCAGTATTGCTGATATTCTTAACACCCTTTGTAATATGGCTAAAATACAGTATATACATATATATATAAAGAGAAAATGATCATGCGGAGAAAGGTATATAACAAAAAGTAGGAAAATAATGGGCAAAATCCGCAAAAAGGATGAAAGTGGATTCGAGCAGAAAATAGGATAGGTAACCCGAGCGATACGTATTTCTGCTGGTTGGATTCATCAGGTCTGAAATGAATGTACATATGCAACTATAAAAGTAGATACAAATGTCCACACATCCGGATACAGGTGCAACACGAGGAAACGAAGATGGAGAGGGAAAAAGTCGACACACAAAGTCCACAACAAGAGCCAACCTATACATTGTAGTATAAAATGGCTAGAAGACCTCGAATTTTCAAGAAGACATGTTAACCACAACCACGCGGCCGGTTATAGCCACTTGCTGTGGTACTTCAAGCCCAAAGGATCTATAAAGAGAAAATGATCATGCGGAGAAAGGTATATAACAGACAGTAGGAAAATCTCTCTTGTTGTGAACTTCGAGTGTCAATGTTTTCCCTCTCCATCTTCCTTTCCTCAGGTTACACCCGTATCCGGATGGGGGAAAAATCGACACACGAAGGCCACAATAAGAGAGATTCTCCTACCTTTTGTTATATACCTTTCTCCGCATGATCATTTCCTCTTTATAGATCCTTTGGGCTTGAAGTACCACAGCAAGTGGCTATAACCGGCCGCGTGGTTGTGGTTAACATGTCTCCTTGAAAATTCGAGGTCTTCTAGCCATTTTATACTACAATGTATAGGTTGGCTCTTGTTGTGGACTTTGTGTGTCGACTTTTTCCCTCTCCATCTTCCTTTCCTCAGGTTACACCCGTATCCGGATGGGGGAAAAATCGACACACGAAGGCCACAACAAGAGAGATTTTCCTACCTTTTGTTATATACCTTTCTCCGCGTGATCATTTCCTCTTTATAGATCCTTTGGGCTTGAAGTACCACAGCAAGTGGCTATAACCGGCCGCGTGGTTGTGGTTAACATGTCTCCTTGAAAATTCGAGGTCTTCTAGCCATTTTATACTACAATGTATAGGTTGGCTCTTGTTGTGGACTTTGTGTGTCGACTTTTTCCCTCTCCAACTTCGTTTCCTCAGGTTGCATCAGTATCCGGATGTGTGGACATGTGTATCTACTTTCGTAGTAGCTAAGTACATTCATTTTGGGCCTGATGAAGCCAACCAGCAGAAATACGTATCGCTCTGGTTACCTATCCTATTTTCTGATTATCACTTTCTCTTTGTAGATCCTCTGGGCTTGAAGTACCAAAGCAAGTGGCTATAACCAGCAGCGTGGTTGTGGTTAGATGTCGCTTTGAAAATTCGAGGTCTTCTAGCCATTTTATACTACAAAGTGTAGGTTGGCTCATGTTTGGGACTTCGTGTAGCAGTTTTTTTCCTCTCCAACTTCGTTTCCTCAGGTTACACCCGCATCCGGATGTATGGGCATGTGTATCTACCTTTGTGGTTGCATATGCGCATTCATTTCGGATCTGATGAAGCCAACAAGCAGAAATACGTATTGCTCGGGTTACCTATCCTATTTCCAGTTCGAATCCACTTTCTCTTTTTGCGAATTTTGCCCATTGTTTTCCTATTTTTTCATATATATATATAGTTGAAAAAATTAATCTTGTTAAATGATTTTTTTTTCGTTACCATCTCTGTAGATTTACGATGTAGCAGAACTCCAAATAGCTTTTCAGGTCGCTGATTACGAATCTCTTATCTCAATAACTATACAGTGCTTTTCAGAAAGTTTCCCCACACGTACTTATACTTTAGTAACAGTTGGAAACTTCAAGATAGCGTTTTAACTATATATTAAATATATTATTGTAACTAATCTTTCAAACGTTATAGTATGTAATATCAAACTTATTTTTTTGAAAGGGTCTATCCGAATATACAATGAAGTAACTTTATCGTCTATTATCTTTAATTGGCCTATGCTCATCGATCACGGGAACTGTCTGGCACCCGATGTTAGAGTACGGTTAATTGAAATTTTGAATCTCTTTAGGTGCTGCCTCAAATTTTTAAATAATCATATAATCGGTAAAATTTTTTTTTTCCGGCGTAACAAGCGTTTTCTTAGAGTATATAAACTAAATCTATGCACCCTAGATACATTAATAACTGTTGAAATTACAATTTCCAGCCCATCCAAACATCGTAGCATTCATAAGTCACGTTGGACTGTTAGGAACTTTAGAAGCAGTATATTCTGGTGTACCCATTTTGGGTCTTCCTGTATTTTGGGACCAAGTAAAAAACATTGACGATGCTGTAAGAAAAGGATTTGCACTAAAACTTAGTTACTTTGAATTAAATGAAGATAATTTTAATAAGGCTTTGGAAGAGATTTTGAACACCCCAAAGTAAGTACAAGTAAATATGACAACCTAATGAGACATACATGTGACCCTGTTGTAAAGAAAATTATAACACGGTCTTTGGTGGGCCACTCTGAAGCTACTGCGCGGACGTTTGTTTAAGTAAGCTCAGACATACGTTCCTTAGTTTCATGTCGCCATCTCCAAAATTTTGTCGCCAACGTATGAGTTTTCCTAATCTATGCTTGTCATTGTCAATGGACAACCCACTTGACATGGACCTACCTTTTATTGATATTCGTAATATAAAACATCAGTACTTGAAAATACGACTAATGGACAATGATGTTACCAATGATCATTTGTTAATCAAATTATGTGTGCAAGAACAGCTTCTTTTGATAACGGTTTGCACAGTGTGGAATTTTGTTATGGAGCTTCAGCTCCGCGCAGGTTTCTCGTATAGCGTGACGAACCGCCAAAACATTGAAAATAACTACACCAAGGTGAACAGAGACACTGACGCTCAAATACTAACGTATGGAACAACTTTAGAAGTTTTTGTGAAACGAAGTAAAGGATTAGGTACCTCCTTGTTTATAACCTGTAGCTTACAGAGGAATGGAGGCAAAAAATCGTCTAAGAAGTTGTACAGCTACATTTATTTTTCCAATAATTAGGCCATATTTTGACGAAATACATAAATTCTTCATAGTCAACTTCTGTCATTGCCTATTGCGATCATGACTGTTCTACCGATGCTAATGAAAAAACTGAATCTGAAGAAACATTGTTTTGAAAAAGTTGAATTTTAAAACACGGCAAAACAAAAACATTGTGGGTTCAAGGGTAAGCTAGATGCTCTGTTTCAGACTGATAAGTTTTATGAACAAAAATACAGCTTGTTCTCAGAAAAACATGTTAATACATTTCTGACTAAGAGATTCCCATTAGCAGTTAGGTCCACCACACTTGTCCCACCCAACATTGAATTTTTTCCCTCAGTTTTATGGTTGCTCTCATTGCCACAGGAAACAAAAAAATTATTTAAAAAAACTTCGAACAAAATGGGTCCAAGTATACTACCCAGTGCTATACTGGTTGAAGTCAACTCAATGTTTGACTTGTTTGACCTCCCTTAACAATTTCAACACTCTGTTGTCTATTATAGAGGTATGACTTGAGCAACTCAAGTGCAGTTCCTGTTACACCATATCTTTGTAGGTTTAATAACAATATGTCTCTGTCAGTGCCATCCTAAGCTTTCGACAAGTCCAGATAGAAACCAACCGCTAAGTTTACATCCTCTAATTGCTTAAGTACTGCTTGAACAAATTGAAATATTTATTTTCGTTTTCATTCTCTATTTTCATTGTTAAAGTCTCATGATACAGACCTTTTTTACTCTGAAATTCTGTCTTAAAGGAGAATAATGAAATACTCCATAGTCAATAATAATAATAATAATAATAATAACAATCCATATTAATAATTGTACAAAATGAAATATTAATCATAGTAGTTTACCGCTGACCTTTTTTTTTAATTTATAGATATAAATTCAACTTACAATTAAATCTTTAGAATAAAACCAGGACAAAAAAGGTAAACCATACCGTTATACAAATATATCTTGAAACAGCTACAATCTGAAATTATTACGACTCACATAGAATTCATTTATGGTATAAGGCTCTGACTGTATTAGAAATTGCCCGGGACATTGCTTAATAGTCTTTTTAAATTTATGTGAACCGGTTGATTATTGAAAAGTTTTAAACACATGTAAATTGGATAATTAACATTCACTGTTCGAGTATCATAAACCCCAACCATTCATTGAAATTTACTCCCTTTATCAGTACTGCTCTGCAATGTAATTAAAATATAAGTAACTTCGTTACTGTGATAATAACAACGCACCTATTTACGATATGAATTCAGCACAAAAAAAACAATGCATAACTTCATAGAAACTCAGTCATTCTACGACTATTGTCATCTCATATCGTTTTTTTGTTCAACTCATAACCTTTTACAAAGATTTGAGGAATTATGCCCTTGCATCGCTTAGAAGAGAGAAAAAAGCATAGATGTCACGTTTCCGGAATCTTAACTCTAGTCAAGCTTGGAAACACCTGAGGAGGATGAATGTGATAGTCCAGAAACATACCTCCCAGTCTCCTTGAGCCTAACATTTTAAATAATTATTTTCTTTCAATTTTCCAGACAGGTGCAGCTGATACAAATTTGATTGATAGTGTCTCTAACTATTATAGCGATAGACGCCATACACCGGATTCACCTCTGTTTGCTTTTAAACTCCTTACTCAGCAAGACATCGTCAATATAATCTCTCACATTAAGTCTACGGCATGTGGCTCTGATGGTCTAACTTCAAATATGGTTTGCTTATGTTTGCCTGATACCATAGACCATATAACTCACATTATTAATGTCTGTCTCAAAACAGGTTACTTTCCTGCCAGTTGGAAAAATGCTATTATTATTCCAATAGCTAAAACTAATCATCCAGAACAATTCGGATCTCAGGCCAATTACCTTATTATGCTTTCTATCAAAAATACTCGAAAGTGTAGTGGAGTTTTTCGAACAAAACCACTTATTTCCTCTACATCAGTCAGGTTTCAGAGCTGGTTACAGCACTACTTCGTCTTTATTACATCTTACTGATTCCATCATTCACAATTTAGATAATCACATCAACACCGTCTTGGTACTGTTAGATTTCTCGAAAGCCTTTGATATGGTCAATCACCAGATACTACTGAGTAAGTTATCTCATTATGGAATGTCAGATATAGTTCTAAGGTTCTTTGAGTCATACTTGCTAAATCTTCAACAAACAGCGAAAACTGATCAGGGAATTTCCTCCTCTGAGCCAGTTCCTTCAGGAGTTCCTCAGGGCTCAGTATTAGGTCCCTTACTATATCTGATTTATACGATCGATCTGCAAGACTGTTTAGTCCACTGTAGTATGCAAACTTATGCAGATGATACTCAGTTAGTGTTTGGTTTCGATCCATCAAAGGTTGATGAAGCTTCTTTTAAAGTTAATTTAGATTTGGCTAACATCGGTGATTACTGTAACAAACACTGCTTGAAGATCAATTCCAATAAAACTACTGCAATGTTGTACTGTTCGAAGAACTCCTACCGTGAAATGAAGCAGAGGATTTGTGTTTTTTTGGACGAGACACTCATCCCTTTTGTGGATTACGCCAAGAATCTCGGTGTTACCCTTGATTTAAATATGAGATTCGATCGGCATGTCTCTTTCTTATCTAGAGTAACATATTTGCGTTTGAAACTCCTCTATTCCAATCGATACATCTTGAATTTTAAAACCCGAAAAAAGCTCGCTGGAAGTCTTGTGTTGTCTGTCATTTCTTACTCTCTTGTTCTGTATTACCCATGTTTAGACTACGTCCAACAGCTGTTGTAGGTTTATTTTTGGATTGCGCAAGTTTAGTCGCGTCTCAGATAAAATCAAAGAACTCAACTGGTTGCGAATTGATAAGTTATTTTTATATCTTTTGACCGTCTTCACCCATAAAGTTCTATTATCTAATAGACCAGCTTACCTCGCTAGCAAATTAGTTCACCGAGGTAGTTTTGTTACCAGAGCTCTTAGATTTAATGCTAATTTTAACATGCCTCCTCACAATACCTCGGTCTTTGAAAGAAGTTACACCTATAATGCTGTCAAGCATTACAATGCAACAGTGGATATCGATCCAAACAGGTTGTTTCTTTCAAGAAATTAATAAAAAGTCAGCTGCTGGAGTCCATTTAGTTCAATTTTTCTTGTGCTCATGTGATTTTTTTTTTGTTTTTTTTTTGTTTGACTACTATTTTTGTTTCAAATTTAAAACTCTCGCAATGCTATCTGCATTTATCTCGTGCAATCATTGTTGTCATTCTTATGAATTGTATTTTTTTTGTATGTTATTATTTTGTTTATGTGTGTAAGTATTCTTTTTTCCTGTTGTGGGGTTGAGTGTAAGAGTAGCCGTCTGGCTAAACTTCGCCTCACTGCAGTTAATAAAGGCATTATTATTATTTTACTGCAAATTATAAGTCACAAGCGACACAAAACAAACACGAAAAGCAGAAAAAATAGGAAAGCGTTATTCATGGGCTCACATTTGATATCCAGGACCTCATAGAAACCACCATCTCTGTAAGGTTGTCACTAATCTTAACTCTCTGTAACAGTGACGCCAGGGCCCAGGCCAGTTCGTGACGTCATCATTTCACAACTGTTACAAAGTTAAAACCAAACGCGACCGGTTGTGATTGGTAGATCGCTTAAAATTGCTTGGAATATATTGACATTATCATCAATTGGCACTTAAAGACGTTCACGGTTATAGCCTAAATATGAGTGAAAAGTAATTCATACATATGGGGTTTCATATGGCCACACAATCATGGCCTATCAACATGTAGATCACAGGACAAGTTGCAGGTGTTAGATTAACCTAACGCTTCCTATAAAAGCTCGGTAGTCAACCGGTTATCCATCAGCTTACAAAAAATTATCTATTTACAATAAAAATGAATTCCTATTTCGCGTGGTTACGCCCTAACTTGAGAATGACTACCGAGTTCATTCATCCTTCTTTTTAAGTTCCCTTAAGAAAATTGCGCAGAAAATTGGGAAATCATTGAAAGCCTAATGATCATTTAAGCTTCGCGCGTTTGACAGTTTTCTTAAGCACGGAGCACGCACAGCAGAAGAAATATCTCAAGTGTCAAGACACTCCTCTCCGCCATCTTTATTCCAACAGCTATTGATAGTTAGCTATGGGAGAGAAAATTGCTTATGAAAATAGGGTGCTTTCGTTTTTGGACCTACCTTTCTTTACCATCCGTACTTTGTGATAGCCCTTCAAAAGAAACCGCAGTGTTGCATAATTGTTATACTTGTCAGTTAACTTTATGAATATAAATGGCGGACTAAAATACGTTTCTACTGCTTAACTGACTTTCACTACCTTGTCATTTTGAACTTGACAGCTCGCACGCCGCTAATTTATATTATCGATTAACATAGTTTGTCGATAAAAAAATATTGCCTTAATTAGTAGTGCACAGTCCATTCGATTACAGCTTTTATCCAGTTTTCAGTTAGTTCAGTGACTTTTTTGAGAAGTCTTTATTCAAAAATAATTAACAATGGTGGAAGTTAGTTCACCGCAATCACGCCTTATATTAAAATTGTAATTGATCAAAATGAATACAATTAGACGTACCAATCTAGGTCGCAGAACTCGCAATCCTGCAGGTCAAAGTTACATACGAAGAAAAACTGTCGAGCAACGAGAAGTGAGAAATGAAGTTGAACGGATCTAAGGACTGAACTTCAGTAACGTAGAAATACAATAATTGCTTTCAAATGACATCATTTTTCTAGCCACATGGCGGTACAAACCCTTCACTATAGAATTATCTTTATTCCATATATTTACCCTTGTATTATTCATTATTTATCCCAGTTCATAGCTAAGACTGGACAACGTCTATCGGGTCACCTAGTCTTTTATAACATGATAAACGCTTCGATCAGCTCAGGGAATAACTTTTGAAGTTTCGCCTTATGTAGGTATAGAAGGCAACTTCTTTATGAGATTCATACTGATCAAGGGGCACTCTGAATCTTGAGGCCTTGCATATGCAAATAATATTTTTTAGTCTAATATAAGTGTCGCCCAAACTAATATATTTGTTGGTGTTCAACAGTCAAGACGTTATTATTTACAGATACCGTATCAATGCGAAGAGGTTATCTAGACTGATACATGACCACCCAGTAAAGCAAATGGATGAAGCCATTTTTTGGATCGAGTACGTCATCAGAAATGACGGCGCATACCACCTAAGATCGTCTGCAGTCAATTTGAAGTGGTACCAGAGATATTTGGTCGATGTTTTTATATTTGTTTCAGGAATTGTTGGAGTTGTAGTTTTAGTTTTGTATAAGCTGTTCTGCATATTGTCCGCATCAAAGCATACGTTAATCGAGTGTAATAGACATATTAAAAAGAACGAGTGATTGGGATCGCTATCTGAATGACTCGGTGCAAAATACTCTAGTCATAACGCTGTAGTAGTAACTAAGTTATTTCTCTGTATAAACATGGTCTGTAGATTACAAGCCACTTTTTTGGAGGTGACTATTAAAGGCTAAAACAAAATCATCTGGATTTTTATTTCCACGAAAATCATTCCTCTGTATAGGTATAAGGCGTGTTTTATTGGAGTACAATAGCTTATCCTGCATTTCACCAAAAGATTCCAAGAAACAAATGTTTATCTAAATGGCGTTAAATTGGGAGTATTTAACACATGTTAGATTATCTTTTAGTTGTTCCAGCAATAAATTTATATGCGAAAAGTGTGAGTACTGTAGCATATAAGTTGCAAAGTGTGCAGTTATAAAACGCCATTAACACTCTGCAGTACACATTCTATTCCTATTGAACATTCGGCCATATTTCCATTGTAGATCATTTATTTTTGAGATATTTACAAAAGTTTTTGCATGCCTAAAACAAAAACTTGATAGAAAGAAGCGCTTTCCATTGAGAAAATGGCGCCAATCAGGCTGACTCTGCACTTCCGACGCAACGACATCAGCAGCTCATAAAATATTGTGTTCAGCACAAGTTAAACCGCTCTCACACAACGTTGGACACAACGTTGGACACGTGGCCATTCGCCACATCATGTGGGAGAGCGCTGATGGATTGAATGTGTCCAACGTTCGCCACATAGCACGATCGTGCTCTTGTCAATAAATTTGACCCGCGTCAAAGGACGTTACAGCGTTGGAAGCATGATTCGCTTCGCTCCCACACGAGATGTCATATGTTGGATGGTTTTAAGTTAGAACCAGTAGCGGGGAAAAACATTATTCACTTGTTTGCTGTGATTGTGGTGAAGTAGTGGTGTGTGGGAAGTATTTTGATTTGAATACCTACCATAATAATTTATGTTCTGTAACTAGCTCTTGTCGAAGATGAATTAAATTAGCATACAACCAAAACATAGGCTGCCATAACAACACCTTTTTCATATTGCTAGTATTTTTTACGTTTCGCAGGTGAGTTATGGCTGGCCTAAGGATATGTATTTTAGTAAATTATAAATTATAAAGTGCTTACAGTTCTTTCATTATAATATCCTGTTGCAATGCAAGACTAGTTGGGAAATATATTGTCTTATATTTCATAACTAACGAAAAAGATTAAATAAATGATAACTTTGAATATACTATGAAATTTCAACCCACGGTTACTACTATGAAAATGACGAAAATTTCTGCAGCTTTTGAAAATCGGTACAGTGGCGGCGGAGTTATTATCGAAAAACGACCAAAAAATGGCCAGACGTCGTTCTTCGACATTTCTGAGGCTTCTGACAGACTTAAGTCTTGGTCGCTGAAGACAGATCTGAAATTATTTTTCGGCGCTCGGAAAAATTGTTTCATCGTTCATTTTGTATAATTCTTCCTTCAGTTGTGAAGGTTCAAGCGCGAAACTGACACCGATAACAGACGTTGGCACCACCATACGTCGAACTTCCGAGACTAAAAAGTTCATCCCATCGTGTAGGAGACACACTTGCTAATTGTGGTTGTCGAACGTTGTAAACACAGTTGTACACAACGTTGTTTACAACGTCGGAAGCATCGTGTGGGACCCGAATTAGACACTGTCGAAGTACCTTGTATCCTGGATAGAGAAGGAAGATTTCCGTTCGTTACCCCAGAGACCAAGCTTAGACCATGCTGATGAGTTGCCAAATAAGCAGGAAACAGCTGTTAATGGTTGGATGTCATAGGTCGAACGGATGAAATAGTCAAGTTCGTCAAACAGGTTTACACATTTCGTCCATAGGCATTATTTTCCTGCCCCTTCCGTAGTACCGTCCATTTGCCAACGACTCATACCTGATCGCATGACGAATTGGACGCGACAGCACGACACAGAGCCAGTCATTCGAGGACACACTGATTTGTCGGTGCGGTATCGGTGCGGCGGCGGTATGCTTGGTATAGAGTCATGAGGGGTAACTGTACGCAATTTCTAGTAAATTGCTTCCAGAATAAAAGTTTTAGTTAATTGAAAAAAATCAACGTTCAATCTAATGCAATAAATCTTTATGAACAAAAACAAAACATAAATTTTTAATTCTAATAATAATTGTTAATTTACTTGAAACTTTTAATTCAACAAGGGAAATGCGGACACCTACCCTTATCAGTGGGAAAGTGTCCGCATGGCTTCGGTTAAGTGTACGCAACAACGACAAAGTGTACGCACAACAGAAACTTAACCCATTGCACATAGATCACAAGTAAATATGCCACTCTCGTGACTGGTACACGCTTCGTGCCAAGAATATTTAAAAATTGTACACTCAATCGACACTTCAGCGGTATCTCCGTACTTTTCTCGACATAACGGACAATAGTATTCTTGTTTCGAAGATTTATCTGTATCCTTATCTTTTTTAATATTATATTTCGTCTTTGGATTACTTTTGGTTTACATGTCTATCTTTGGTATTCTAATCTTCTTAGATTTTTGATCAATTTGTTTTTGTTTCCCCTCCAACTTAGTTTCAAAAGGACTATTGGTGATTATTTCCGACTTGCTAGTATTTTTGCGTCGAGCCTGAATGTGTATCGCCTTTGGTAATAGGCTTATATCAATTAAGGAAATATGAGACTGGTTATGGAAAAATAGAGGGCGAAATAGTTTGTTGCTCCTGAAATTCTTCTCTTTTGTCCACTGGATCTGAAAGTGCGTGTAATTGTTCATTCGCTATGTTAATTTCAACTGCAGCTTCCATGTTCCGTTGGCTAGGTAGTGTTGAACTTTGTTGATTATGCACTTCAGCAACAATTACAATGACGTGTTGTTCAGCCAGTGATGCACTTGGTTGACGATGCGTTTCAGCAATAGTCAAAATCTCTTGAGTTTCTGCCAAATGGGCAGACGTAGAAGCACTTGATTCTTGTGCAATAGATGTAATAGCCAAAGCTCGATGACTTTGCCTGTCTTGAATTTCTACTGTAGCTACAGAATTTGAAGTAGATGAATTTTGAGTGGTCTAAAACGTAAAAATAATACTTGAAACATTGAATTTACTTCAGTGGGGTAAGTATACGCATTTTAATACTGCGGGCACTTACCCGCGTATACTTTCCCCATCCCGTCAAAGCAAACAAAAATTATGAAAAAAATAAGTACGACTTACCTTAGACAAAACACGCAAATACTAAGAAAATATTGATTAATTCCTCCCGTTCACAGTCACTTTGTATATACAATTAGATTAATTGTAACATTTTCACCATGCAAATGAATTTCACGAAAACTAATAATATATCTATGCAAAAATAATATCGTCGAATTATTATTCGCAGCCGTGTACAGCAAACCTGTGACGGAGTACTTTCGCTTGGCGGTCAATAGCGAACTAAATGCGGCAGGTCTCGACAAGTTGTCACTCGTGGTATTCGCACGCTGTTCACTTCGGACACTTACCCGCTGCGTACAGTTACGCCACATGACTCTATGCGGTACCAAAAACTTACCGAGCGCCTATATTTCAATGAGTCCTTTCTGATCTGAAGGATCCGTTCGGTTTACCGCGTCTCGGCGCGTTCGTCCAGGCGGCGGTCGGGATTCACCCCAAGTATACGCACATGCACTGCAAACTGGCGAAAATACATTTAACTTCAGTACTGGAAATTGAAAAGCATCCTGTGTTGTTTAATTATTGGATTCAAAAGCTGTTGATATGTTTCTTTTGACAATCTATACATAGATAAAAATTTTGTATCATCAAGTGAAAGTTCTTTTGCTGCAACAAATAGTCGACAGTTAATATTATTTTCGATGTAAGGATGACGTCAATAAGGTTTTCTTTTTTTACGTACATGGAGATACAAATAACACGCCAAAATATCATCAGCTCTTGAACTCGAAGACGACATCTCTCCACAAAACAAGCTGTACGGCAGAATATACCGAGTAATGCATAGATGCGAGCAATGCGGTATTGATTCGGTAACGGAGCATACCGCCGCATCGATACCGCACCGACAAATCAGAAACGGCCTAAGTGTGCGTCCAAACTGCATGTGGGGTGACTGGGGTATAGGTGGTCCCGACGAGCGGCGGCATGGTGTGACCACAGTGACACGCGAGCTCTTGTACTGGTTCGACGTATTATCAGAAGTTTCAAACTATGGACGGCGATTTGATATTTTTACTAGACAGTCAAATCCTGAGACGCGGTTGACGTGTTGAACATTCAAGATGGTGTGCACGAAATAAATAAAAACAGAGAAACAAGTATTGAATTTTTTCAGTTATATAAGTACACTCGAATGCCCGTTTGACTACATCCTGAGTAAAATATCTGTGCTGCGGATGTTTACTTAACCAAACAGGTGGTTTAGATTAAATTGCACTTATAAGCAATTCAGTATCCGCCATTACAATACAATAATACTCATGCATACGCCGAGCGACAATACCGAACTGGTTTGATACCGCTGCCAAAGCGCGTTAGGTCGCTTGCTGATTAGGCCCGTAGTGTGGCCAGAAAGCGCGGAATAGGAATGTTTCAAAACTACGCGCGCTGTCCCGCTAGGTCCCACCGCCCTAGGCTTCCGCCACTCGCCACAGTCACTACACTATGAACGCAAAGGCGCGTTTCATAATGTTTGATATTTCGCGCTCGTCGTCGCTACCGCGCTAGGCTCGCAATATGGCTGCACAAGACGTCTGTCGAAAGCAGTCAGAAGCGGGGGGTGGTTCATCAGAAAAGGTGCAGTTCAACTTACATTCCTAGGGGAATAGCTGGTCTTCCAGTTGACCCCTACATAATGCACTTAACTATCTTATATAAATTCAAGCTTAAAATATGAAGATATAAGAATAAGGTAAGATAAAGGAATCAAATTCATTTATAAGGAGCAGTTTCAAAAAAATGACGTAACGAATACGTATAAAAGAAGGGAAGAATTGACAGAGTACAAACAGAAAGAAAAAAGTAAAATTACAATGACAGGTATAGTTGTAGTCACCGTTCTTGGCGGTTACGTCATCAACGCCATATGAAATAAGTAAACAGAGTCTCCGTACCATGTGCAGATCTTAATTTTCCTAACTGATAATAAAATAATTTTCCTAACGGCTGTTTCCATTCTGTTCCTGGAAATACATTTGGGACGAGCTGTCATCCGTCTCCATTGATCGTATTTCCATGCATTGTACAATTACATACAGAAGACTGATAACAGGACAAACCAAATTGCACTCCGATGTCAAGTAAGTTGTCAGTCGAGAGATCGAGACACACAACTAAAAAACGTATGTCTTTGAGCCTACCGAACAAACGTTCACACACAGGGGTAGGTTGCATGTGTATGTATGAGGGAGATGAGATATATAGAGGGATACTGGTAGTCTTACTTTGACCTGCCAAGAACGGTGACTACAACTATAGATGTAATCATATACAAATAGGTACATATTGAGATTATACAAACCATAAAAGTGAACCATTTAGATTTTTAACATGATAGATTAGGGCGGGAAATAGGGCGTACAATTACTAAGAATAGAAGTCTGTCAATATACTGACATAACAAACTCCGATATACATTCCTTCATCACCATACGACTCCTCACCCGTTTATTATTCACTCCTGAAACATGTTCAAAAACCAGGGTCCTCTGAAACATCAAAAAAGATATTTTAGCGATTTTTATTTTTTAGGTTTTTGCATTCTTCTCCGCCGTCACTGAACCAATTTTTGAAAAGTAAAAAGATTTTTCGTCCTTCGCATAGTAGTAAGCTTGTGTGAGAACTTAATCCAAATCCGAGCAGTACTTCCCAAGTTACAGACGGGCCAAGGATTTGCAAACAAAACGGACTGACAGACAATTAGACAGACAGACGGACTGACACAGACAGAAATGAGTGACATGGTTTTTCATGATGTACTTGTCATATAACATCCAAAAAACATAATATCTCATTTTCGAAATTATTGGCGATTACAATACTTTTTCGGCAGTAGGCGTGGGAAGTAAGAGTTTGCTCTTACAAAACGTATTACAATTTTTATTGGTAAAATGGGCTTTGGAGAGCTTTTCCCTCCAAGATATTATTTTTCATATACCCAAATTCTTTGTTACAGATAGAAAAATATATCAATACTGCTAAATGGTACTTAGTAACATAATCCATTGGATCTTCTGAAAAATCATGATGCTGAAACTTGGTATGGAGGTAGTTACCAGTACTAAAGAAATAATGGTGTATGATTACGCGCCTGAAGTACACGTCGTTCTGGCACTGATTTTGAAGATTTTAGCTAAAGCAATTTTGGGAATATTACAAAAAAGTTAATGTCAACCGTAACGTCCTCTGCTAAAATTGAAGCCGTTACGGATATACATATATAGCTAAGACTTTTCTGCAGCGAATGACTTTAAGGGCGCAGTTTTGGAGCTCTCGTACCTTGAAGAACACAAGGTATGTTATTGTGCACAAAATACACCAGTTTGACTCCCGACAGAAAATTTCTGAAAAGAGGGCTGCGATTAAACAAGCTAAAATGTCTTGTCATCCTGATGACATTCGTAGAGCGACTACTCTAAACTGAATCCAAATTCAAGATGAGATGTAAATAATAACAGTTAGCGCGTGATCTCTCGGTAACGGGTGGGGACAACGCCTCTTATTGGTCAATTCCCCATTAAATTTCAAGCGGTCGCCTGGCGGAATAATGCGCGGGGCAGGGGCAGGGCAGGCAGAGTTGCATTCAGGCCACCGACCGTCGCGTGTATCACTGCGTGCTCGTGTTTTCGTATTCACCTTGCTTGATTGTTGCTGTTGTTGTTGTTAAGTGTATTTGAGTAATTTGTTAAGTTTCTGTTTGTTACTGTTATTCCTCGTTATTATTTGTTTTGAACCAATCCTGAACATGTCCAGTACAGATACTGCTGACGAGGATGTAGGATACTCCCTAAGCACTCCTAGAAAGCGATAAAAAAAGTCATCTTAGCGTAGACATGAAAGGCATCATATTGAATACATTGAAGATAGAGCGGAAGGAAGACGAAACATCAACTAACCCAAAAATATCTCTGAAAGTGGCAGATAAAATTGGGGTATGACAAGCGACAGTGTACAATGTTTAGAACGAACATAAGAAAAAGCATGCCTTTTCCAAGCCAATGACGGGTAAAAATCGCTAAAGTATCATAAGATCGTTTGATGATGCTGACAAGCATGCGATTCGGAGGCAAGTGCACGAGTTCTTCTTCAGAAACGAAATACCGACAGTTGATAAAGTAGGTGGAGGATGCTGTGTTACCAAATTTAAAACGTTCGACTATTCATAAACTTTTGAAGCATCTTAATTTCGAATGGAAGAAACGAGGTCGTAACAGCTTACTTATGGGTAGAGAAGAAATTGTTCTGTGGAGGAGAGAGTACCTGACCAAAATTAAATCATTCAGGGATCAGCACAGGAAGATCTATTACCTGGACGAAACCTGGATTAACGCAGGGCACACTACTCCGACGGTATGGGTTGACAAAACTGTGACTTCATCCAAAAGGGTATTTCTAGATGGACTGTCGACCGGATTAAAAAATCCAGCAGGTAAATAACCGAAGTAGTTCACGGTATCTAATTTTGCGCACAATATCTCTCTATCTTCGTACCTACAAGACGTGCATGTGTACTTAGCGGATTTTATCTTTCTAGGCAAAGGAAAAAGGCTCATTATTTGCCACATTGGGGGTGTAGATGGCTTCGTGGATGACGGCTTATGGTCTTTTGAGTAAAAAAAAAACACTGACCACCATGAAGAGATGAATGGGGAAGCATTCCAGAAGTGGTTTTCAGGCATTTTACCACGTCTCGAAGACAATTCTGTGGTTGTTTTGGATAATGCTCCCTATCATTCTAGCGAAATAGAAAAAATCCCAACTTCAGGAAATCAGACATTCCGAGCTGGCTCCGTTCAAACTTTCGACCCTTCCTTACTGAAATTACAACTATTAGATACTGTGAAACAACACAAACCAAGACATGATAAATATGTCATAGATGATGAAATGGCCAACGTACACCACAAAACAGTACTCCGTTTGCCGCCTTACCACTGTGAGCTCAACCCCATTGAGCTCATGTGGGCAGATGTTAAGAATTTTGTTGCTGCACACAATACAACATTTAAATCTTCTGACATGCAAGAGCTGTTCAGAATTGCTATACAGAGGGTCACACCAGAAAGATGGCAAAAATGTGTGCAGAATGTTGAGGAGAAAGTGGAGGTAGCAATGTGGGAGCTGGACAACATAATTCAGAGAGATTTTGAATCCATCATCATAAACATTAATGACGATAGCCTTTCAAGTGAGTCTGAGTAAGTTTCGCGCTTTTGTTTTGTCACAGAATACATATTATGGGAATCCAAGTTATAGTGAAATATTAACTTACAGATAAACTACAGACAATGCAAGTCCGAAGTGCACCTTCAAAATTTATTTTCATTTGATTGAACAGCCTTATATTTATTCCATGTACAAAAGGGTCATCTCTACCCTTTGTTGACTACGGATTCATTGTGCATAGTGCGCAGCTGGTTTCCTCTGGTATGTATTTCTCCATGTTGTCTAGTTTGAAACATCTGTAGAAAAACTTAGCACCCCTTAAAGAATAAAAATTTGATTTTGCGACACCCTCAACTATAACTACTTCACTACATATATATTAGATAATTTCGTTAAATACTGTCATCTTTGTTTTACAACACGTTGGTGGTAGTCCATCATTCGGCGGTAGCCCTGAATGCGGCCCTGTACGCCGTCCTTGTTTTTGAAAATCACGCATCCATTCTATCTTGGGTGTAAATACACTATAGTCCCTAAACTGAGAAATGCACTCCATGAATTCCGCAATGAGCAGTGGAGCGACTTTCTGGCGGAGATGCTTGACTCAAGTATTTCTCTCTGGAAAGTGGCAAAGTGGCTCAGAAACGGAAGGCAAGAACAACTACCACACAATCGTGGTACTGGTGGCATAGTTTTCAGGACTGAGTATAAAATGGTGGGTTTTGCTGGCTTCATGGTAAGGCAGTTCTCTCCCAGTTATGATGCCGACAGTGACCGTGACGAGGGACGACAAATTGTAACATCGGTGACTCCTTTTCAGAGGATACTTCTACGGACGACTCTTCAGATGAATCTCTGCATAGCACATCTGCGGAACCCTATGTGATCTCGTTTTGCACACCATCAGAGCTCCAAGGTGTGGCACATGGGCCTCTTGTGTAAGCTCATCCAAAAGGGCTTTCCATTTCAGCTACTAAAACTGTTGAAATCTTTTCTAGAGGAAAGGAAGTTTCAGATCAAAATTAACAATGTTCTGTCAATAACGTAACAGCCGGTGTTCCTCAGGGTTCGGTCTCAGGGCCCATCCTTTATTCACTTTACATACATGACGTCCTTTGCCCCAGCGATCTCGCTCTGTACTGATGACACTGTACTAGTAGCCCAGTCGTGGCCTGGTAACCTAGTTCACGATAGGCTGCAGAGTGCGATGGAGGAAGAATTGGAGTGGGTGGATCGGTGGATGATTAAAATTAATAATTCGAAAACGCGGGCAATCTATTGTACATACTAAAAAACGTCGCGGTGTCCCATCAAAGATATCAGTGCATGGAGCTCGTATACCATGGATACAATCTGTAAGGCAGCTTGGAGTCATCATTGACCAGGGGAAACATACTGATATTTTGAAAATCAAATTTCAAACTACGGTTCGGCAGCTTTATCGTTGGTTGTGCAGAAATTCAAAATTAAGGATGATGAAGATTCGGTTGTATAAAATGGCCGTATCACCCGCAACCACCTGCGCATGTGCGGCTTGGTGTTTTCTTGCCAAGACGCACATGCAGAGATCATTCACAGATATCTTGATATCCTATATCTAAGGAATTACGTAAAACAATAGGCACAGCGGCGTTAGAGTCAAGCCGATTCGTACAGCAACACTCTGTTGCGTGATTCAGTAGACTACACGTTCGCAAACATTCCAGGCAGCGTCTCACACTGTGATCAACATTTTAATTTTGAATTTCAGTTCAACCAAAGTTATTTCAATATACAAAATCGATTCAAATTATTTTTTGGAGTTACAAAATTATTCGAGTAGTCAAATCAATAATGTTTTAGCTCTTTCAAATGACTTACTCATTTTCTTTGCTCTATTTCTTCCTTCCTCTCTTTCCTTTTTTCCCTTTTCCCCTTAAACATGTTTTGTATCTGGGTAGCCGGACCTGACAGACTAACAGTCCGAAGAGACTTTTAACTAAGAGCAAAGGACCGCTCTGAGGAACATTGACGAATAGTACACTATTTTCACGTGATTTGTCATTGTGGCATCTGCAGTGACATCTCCTTAACTAAAAATGAAATTGTCAACCTACAGTTCCACATGTGATGAAATTCGAATGTTTCGTGATAGTTTTATCGATATATTTGCTTGAAAAACTAATAGATAAGGTGAAATCCCTAAATTTGGACCTGAGTGGAGATGATAACTCTGGTAATTATTGATATTTCTTCCTCCGTGCAGTTATTTCAGTAGCTGATTTTTACTCATCGGTGATGTCAGAACAGAATATTAGCTGTACCTACTGTTTCACAAACTATATCTCGGAAATCGCCTGTAATTATTATAGCATTGTTAGCTTCAAATGACCGAGCAGCTAAAACGTTCTATGCAATTCAGCAAAACCATCCTTGTTGTGGTTGATACAAAGTCACACATGGCAGGTTAAACGTGTCCGTAAGCTTTACAAGACTGTATCTGCTGTTTCTACCAGCAGAACTGTTTCTAAATCTACCATTTTATTCATGATAAAAGGTCATCATCATATATGTATAATCAATAAATCCCCATGCTTGTCTGTCCAATAAAATCACATGTGTTGACAAAATATTCTTTACTGTAAACCTTTCAATCACAAGGGTGATCTTTTCCATAACTAGACAATTGGGATTGAAACGTTTACAGTAAAGAATATTTTGTCAGTGCAGGCGGTTCTGTTGGGCAGACAAGCATATTGGATTATCGGCATGTAAGCCACAGGATAAGTTTCAGATGGTACATATACAACACGCTATTATCGTGGAAAAGTCAGAATACATCAGTAGACAAGTAGATCGTCTGTGAGTTGGTGGTCATCCTAGACGACCAGTAGGCCACTAAGCTAGTTTAGGCAATTTCTGAGACATCATGGAGATTCTTTCTATATTTTTAACCTATTCTGCGCTCCGACCTCAGGTTACTTCAATAAGTGCTTCGAAGAGCTCGGTTGTGTCGAAGCAGATTCCAGATGGTTCGATAAAAAATTAAGACCGGTAAACATGGAACCAGCAGATAGGCATGTTATCAAAACCGATTTTCTCTTGGTGAAAGAAGACAAGAGGGATCACTTGGACGAGGACTATGAGGGTCTTTTGTATACGAGTGTTACTGCCGATATGAAATCACTGAAATCTTCTGGATTTAAGAAATCTTCCGACTTGATGTTGTTAATACATGATTTTACGTCGAATGGATACACAGGTTGGGTCAAGGTTAGAATTTTTGAGTACGCCTAAGGACTTAAAATATCTCATGATTTTCTGCGACCTATGACTCATGAGCGATATAAAGAGCATTATATAGGGTGATTCAAACTGGGTGACCACATTAAAAGTATTTAAAAAAAGGAAGAAATTGAAAATTATAAAAAAGTACGTATTTGTCCTTTCAGGGCAGTTCATTACAATTATGCATGAAAGATGACATCAAGTAAATGACCGCCGCAGCTCATGTGGCATGACGTAATCCGTTTCGAGAAATTTTCGACTACTCCGTGGCACAAATCAGGTCCTATGTTGGTAATTTTGCGACTGAACTCCTATTTCAGCTCCGCAATTGTGTTCGGGTTATTCTTGTAGACTTTGCTCTTGAAATACCACCAAAGAAAATAATCTAAGAGAGTTAAATCACAGGATTGCGGCGGTCAATTGATATCGCCCTTACGTGAAATAACGCGACCTGGAAACTTGCCGCGCGGTAATTGTACCGTTTCCCCTGATGTGTGACCTAGGCTTCAATTCCTGTTATTTGGATTCTGTATGGGTGTAACTTCAAATCTTTTGTTAAAATCCGCTGTGTAGTGGAATAAGTAAGGTCCAGTTGCTGCCATCGAAGACGAGTCGAGGTCCTTGGATTTTCGGCCACACTTTCGGCAACAATAGCAATATTGTGTTCCGCCTGACCTCTACGAGCACGCCTAGAGGTTTTGGTGTTAGCGACGGATCCGTTTGCTTGAATTTTTGCACCAAATTCCAAACAGTCCTCTCACATGGCCGATTTTGTGCGACAAAAAATTCACGTAATGTATGCTTCCTTGATCGGCCGTTTTCATTATAGGCTTGGATAATTGTAACACGTTGTTCGGTCGTTTATTGCTTCATGACTGTTTTGTGTATATTTTGACGTTAGAAATGGCACGTTGTACGTCGACAAATTCAGTGGTGTTTCAAAAAAAAATTTATTTGTAATGTGGAAACTCAATTTGAGTCACCCATTATAATGTCATTGAATACAGTAGTCACTTTAAAAAGGGTATTAGTAAAGCAAAAAGGACTAAAAATAATATCAGCTATATTAGGAGGCATATTAAATTAAATTCGCTGTGTACAGGGTGTCCTGAAAAGTGTGACTTTCCTTTTTAAATACAACGACGTTTGTAATAACAAAGCTAATGTGTGGGGGAAACAACAGCAAAAAAAGTAAAAAAATGAATAAACAAGTAATCACCGTAGAATGACAAGAAATTTCAGATTGCAATCGTGTCCATCTCAGTATTATAAATTAAATATCAGGTAACCAAATAAGTTCGTGCGGTTGCTGTATATCGCACATTACCATGGATGCTGTTGATAGATAGCTATTGTTTGTTACCTGTTGTCACTTTAGTATGAATCCTTCTAAAAAGTTGCTGAAAATTGTTACATACCTAGTTTTAATAATCGAAAATGGCGACGAATAAAACAGTAATTCGAAGTTGTTCACTGTATGAGTACAAACTTGTTACAAAAGCTGCAGCGGCACAGCGGCGCAAAAAATATGTACCGCATTCGGAGATGATGCCGTAAGTGATCGAACAGCACAGAAGTGGTTAAACATTTTTTCTTCGGGAGATCTCAGTTTGAGCGATGAACCGTGCTCAGGGAGACCAAAAATCGTATCAACCAGGATCTTCGACAGGTTGTAGACGCAAATTCTAAAACAACGTGCCAAGAACTTGCACAAATGTGCAGAGTGAGTCCTGAAACTATTCGTTTGCATCTTCATCAGCTATGAAAGACGTGGAAGTTAAGCAAATGGGTCCCACATGAACTGACAAATGATAACAAATTAAGCCATCTTACCATTTGTTCAGCAAACATTTCACGCAACGTTAATGAACCATTTCTTAATCGGTTATTAACCTGCAACGGCAAATGGATCTTGTATTAGAATTCTAAGCGTTCGTATCATTGGTTGTCGCCTACTGATTCGGTACCACACACGCCCAAGGCTTCCTTGCACCCAAACAAAGTTTTGTTGTGTGTTTGGTAGACAGCAACTGGAATTGTCCATTATGAGTTTTTGTAAAGGGGTCAAATCACTGCTCACTTGTATTGTGAGCAGCTTCAACGAGTACAAGAAGCACTCGTCCAGAAATAGCTTTCTGTGATCAATCGGAAGAAAGTGATATTCTTGCAGGATAACGCCCAGCCTCATACCGCAAAAGTGAGCCGAGAAAAAATTTCAGCTCTCCCATTATCTCGCTGATTATCAGCTTTTTTTGTCTCTTGACAACTGTATGAGGCACCGACAGTTCACAACTCGAGATGGTGTAATAAATGCAGTCCGCCAATGTTTTTACTCCGCATCCAAATACAAAAATTGGTTCCACGTTGGCAAAAGGTCACTGAATGTGATGGATTACTTCGACGAATAAATAGTGTCTTATTGTTTCTCAATAAACATTTGTATTTTTCTACTAAAAACCGCACGAACTTATTTGGTTACCTGATATTTCATTTCGCTATGAAGAAAAAAAGAAATCACAAATGACCTTTAAATCTGCGTGCACTCGCGAAACATTTCGAAGGCACTCATCGATAATTGAAATAATATGGCAACCCCAATATTGCTGTAAAAGTGTGTCATTATTTTTTTTAGAACCAGTGGGTAAAGGTTTTGTTTACAAACGCGGGCTGCGCCTGGATTGATCACTGATCCGCATCGCATGTGTTCACGTTTGATCTGATCGAGGTCCCACGACCGGATTAGGTGTATATGTTACTACAAAAATATTGTTTATTTTGCCAAGATCTATACGCCGTGTAAAGTCCCAGCTCTGAGGACATCCTATATATCTCAGTTACTTCTGCAAATTTTCTCTACAGACCGATTTGAAGTCTATTCTACTGAACTGAATTAAAGTTGGATTATAAGTTTGGAATACAAAACACTCAACTTTCAGCTTATTTCGGAAGTAGCTACATATATCAAAGAGCACCTAACCAAATTTCTAGTGGACCGTCATCTGCAAATCTTCCGTTTAACAATTATTTTCGAAATGACCTTTTCGAAAGATTTTTCATACAAGATGTAAGCACGGTTTTTTTGTCCCAGTTTCAGAAGACTAATCTTCCAATCAGCCCGTTGAATGGGAATATTGAATATAAAAGTTAACTGGTAAAACTTCAAAATGAACCCTACATTTATTATGGTTCACCGTATTAAACTGTCCATTTTTTTAAAGCCGCCGAGGTGAACTGAAAGTTCTGCATATAAAACAGTTTAGGCTAACTGCCAAAATCGACCCTGTTCTATCAAAAATTTAAAGAGTCATTTTACAACAGAGATATATCGTCGGTGATACTGCAATATGTCGTATGTCGAAAAGAGGTAATTTTTCAGGAGAGAAAGAAAACTGTTTTTATCGACCAATTTTAAATTTGAAATTGCTATTTTTTGTCTACTATGTATTTTTCTATTAGGGTATTAGTACTTAACTCGATTTTTTTGTTCAATGGAATATTAAGCAAAATGCCGTTACATACGACATATTGCATTGAAAATGGAAATATTTATGTCACATACGACAATTTTGTAATCCATTATACATCTCACAAAAATAATTTTTAACAGTTCTATTCTTTTTATTTACGTAATGAAAAACTAAACAAAAAATTCTAAACAAATATGTAATCTTAAAATAAACAGGAAAGAATAAAATATATTAATTTTTGATATGTGAACAAACTTGGTCAGACTTGCAGCTGTGCTTTAAATTGTCATAAAATCCATGGTAATCTGATTCGATGACAGATTTCAATTCTTGAAGATGTATGAATTTTGTATCCTCAATTTGGCGAGGAGATAAATATAGAGGTTCGTGAGAGAAAGAAGTTCTAGTACGACATGGTCTACGTGGCAGTTCGAGCCATTCATCCGAAAAATTTATTTTGTATTTTATTAGTCCTTCAGGAAGATACTGCAATGCACAAATGTCTGTAACACAGGGATCACCTTTTTTGCTTCCAGGTCGAATTTGTGAATACATTCCTTTTTTGTATTGCAAAAAATCGTTGAAATGCAGAGACACTACTTTATAAGGGGATGGGTTTTGCCTGGCCGCTCTTATAATTTTATTATAATCGGCGGGAACAGCTATATCATTTCTTCTTCCCAGCTTTCTCTCTATTACACTATGGACTGAATCCACCTCCATCTGGGTATGTCCTACCTCCAGGTACTTTTGTTCAATAATAATATTTTTTTCCATGGCTATCTCCAGCAAACCATTTGACAAATTCACATTTCTGTTTTGGTAGGTACAACCGTCGCTCCATAGGATTATTACCTTCGGGCTCTGCCTTTCTATATCTTCATTAAGAAACTTTACTAAAATGGAAACAAAAACATCGCTGTCTAAACCTCCATTTCCCTCGTGCCATAAATAACAAGACACATCTTTGTTATTAAGATTAAAAAATGTTTGGTTGTGAACCTTCAGTTTTTGTTTATAGTACATGGCGGAGGCTTGGGTAAAAGGACAAAGAAGAACAGCTTGTAAGTCCATAGTGTAGACATACTTTGAGTTTCCTGCCTCTGATGAGATAGCTTCTTGTTTGTCTTGCTCTTTTTCTGACCGTGCCTGTTCTTTCTTGGCAACGTGACTATCGTAATCTGCTTGACTTAAATTTCCCTTTTTAAACTTCACGCATGTGTTGCACTGGTCCTTACGAGGTGTATAAATTTCAAGATTTCTTGTCTTAAAAGTTTTATAGAAAAGTCTCCAAGAACAAGATCTTAGGTTTTGACGTTCACAATAGTTAATAAACTCACGATGCAAATGTCTGTAACTATTCCAAGTGGGTTCCAAATAAAGTTTCCTAGTGGATGCTCGACAGTAGTGCGATTCAACTTTAGGCAAGCTGTCTAAGAATTGATTAACATTTTTTGTGCATTCGGAATCCTGAGGTGGCTCTACTAAAGCCGGTTCAATACCTAGCTCCATATTTGGTAAACATTTGTTTAAAACCCATTCTCTTACACATCTTTCTCCAATACCTAAAGTGGCTAAAAACATTTTCTTGCATACGTGATATTTTTTGGTAGACTCTGGATTATCTTTAGTTATTAAATAATATTTAAACCCTGTTTTCTTTCGAGACTCTTCTTCTGCAGTGTTTCGTCTTCTGTGTTTGGGCTGAGAGTGCAGTACAAGACTACTTACATAAATTTTTTTACCTTCCCAAGAACTAATTTCCCAAAAAGATTGAAATATTTGATTACGCATTTCATTTGTAATTTGCAAACATTCAAATTTTTGTTGTGGTCCCTTAGAGTCATTTTTGTGTCCCCCACATGACGGCTTTACTTTGCGCTGAACTCTACAGACTGTTTGCTGGTACTTGCCTCCAGTATTTTTCTGAAATCCCATGTATGCATGGCCTTTAAGTCTCGCTTGCGAATTTTTTGCTCGTTTCCATTGCGATGGATCTCTTTGCCCTTTACTCTTACGTTTTTTTGTTCTTCCATCCGGTGTCCGACGATCTTCTTGGTTTCCACCTCCTTGGTTTTCAACGTTTTCGTTTCCTAAACTATTTTCTGAATCAGTATCTGTTGGCAGATACTCGCTGCCACTTTCCTGAAATGGATCTGGTTCTGAATGTCTTTCAGTATCTGAAGTTGCATCATGGACCTCTTCTTCATCTGCTACAACTTCTTCCTGATAGTCAATTATTGGTACAATACCACTATCAGAATCTGTGTTTTGTTCCAAATAATATAACTTTTCATCAGTTTTGGAATGCGATGTTTCTTTTGGGATTTCTGCCACTTCTAGGACTGTTAAAATTGGATTATCTACCAATTCTGCATTTCCTAATAGATCTTGAACTGACACTTGAACCATGCTCTCTGTTCTTTGAGGATCTGATGCATCGTTCAATTGGGTCGCAAAATTGTTAATGTTATCGTCTTTGGGCACTTGGTGAGAGGCTACTGCACTAGATGCTGAATTTCGAGCTAGTTCCACCAACAGTCGCGCTCTGTTTGACATTATGGATTCACTGAAAATAAAAAAAAACAAAGATGCAATATGTTGTATGTCAATACTTAACAAACAGAAATAATACTAAATAAAAGCTAAATTTGGAATGTAAAATATCGTATGTCACACAGTGTTCAAAAAATCGATTAATTACTACAATAAATCATATCATTAAAGAGAAAAGGAATAAATAACCTACGTGAATTTTACTTGCCGTTTTGATATAATATATTTATTCAGAAAAAATTAAGGTTATACAAAATAATATTGTTGTTTTTTTTGTTAATTATGGTATTTCTTGACTAAAAACTACAAACACTATAACGTTTTTGTAGTTTAAATTAAGAAAATAACAACAAACTCACCATGTAAATTCAAAAAACTATCACAAAACTCACATTTAGTTGTTACTGACACGTTACTGCTTGCAGCTAACCTAAAATGTATAATAATTTAAGTGACATACGACGTATCGAAATATCCAATTGTGTAGCGTTACGACATAGACGGAGAGCATGATTCTGACATACGGCATATTGAAGTATCCAGTTTTGTCAAGAAAAACATACGACATATTTGTATGTGTAAACAATCAGGGTACCTGTTCAATTTCATATACAACATTTTGCAGGGCATAGAGGACTGTATTTTGGTACAATGATATTAAACAAAAATTGCAATTTTTGTGACATACGACATATTGCAGTATCACCGACGATATATTCTTATAGGTGATACAAAAGGTCTTTCGTTTAGAGATAAAACAAGCTGAATAACTTTTATACCATCAGGAATATATTTCATATGTAAAATCCGTCTATACAATAGGTTTCTGAAATTCTACATATTCCGGTCTACTCAAATGATAAATATTCAAATATTTATTTATCATTATACAAAAAACAATATCAAACACTGTAGAAAATATATAACAGATGAATAAATAAGTAAATGACAAAAGGCACAGCCTTGAGACTGATATAAAAAATTAAAATATACCCTCATGGAAATATCCCATAGAGGAAACATGAAGTGAATTAAAAATAAATAATTTATATATATATATATCCTATGAGCAACGTTCTCACCCAAACTTTTAGATTTACTCCAAATAAACTGAAGTTTTGAAGTTTTCTTATGTTTATTGGAACACTATTGTAATATTTTGGGCTTAAAAAGCTGTGACATCTGGTAAATATATTTTTGATTTTGATTTTTGAACTATAATTTCGGATGATTTGCTTCGTGTATCATAATTGTAGTCTAAAAGTTTGATAACCTTTACAAATCGTATGTATAATTTTACAGAAATATAAAAAAGTCTAGTTATGGGCTTATAATGTATCTTCTTCAGAATCTAGTCGATTTAATGGTCAAATGTATAAATTTTGTGCTGCACCTCACACTGTTGTAGCATACGAGATATTAATTTATACAGGGTGTAATCGTTATGATAGTCATTATTGGAATGAGTAATAGGGGGGTCAAAACAAGTCAAAAAGTTCATATGACCCATGGTCCAAAATTCAATAGATTTTTGTCTAAATGGCTTTATAGTTTACTAATTTAAGTGCTTTATATCTACCACAATCACCACAATCTTACTAATTTTTATAATCTAATCGAAAACGTTTCTAAATTGAGTAATTAACAAATAAATGGCATTAAGTTTTTCTAAGTTAAGCCAAAATCTGTAGTCAGTAAGTAAGTAAGTTTCATTAAATTGAATATTTAAAACACACATGACAACAGCGCGTCGGTCATCATCACCCTTATCGTACCAGCAATCGATCGCAAACAGTGGTTAGTATGTTGTTTTTTTTTTCGCGTACGTCGTCGTCTTGATTTACAATGTTCTCGAATCAAGAGTTCGCCGACATGTTGTTAGTTTACGGTGAAGCTCGTCAGAGTTTAAATCTTGCAGCTCAAATGTATTGCGTCAGATTTCGTCAACGGGTGCATCCAGACAGAAGGACATTTGTGCAAGTGTACCTAAGACTTCAAGATACAGGAAATGTTCAGCCCACTAATATTCGCGCTCGTGAAAGACAGGTTACTGTAGAGCCGGAGGAACAAATTTTAAATATCGTGGAAATCAATGCAGATATCAGCACTCGGGAATTAGGCCGCCGCGTAGGACTATCGCACACCACACCATAGAATTCTACGGGAAAATTTGCTTTATTCCTACCATGTACAACGAGTGCAGGTCTTGTTACCAGGAGACTATTCTCGCAGACTAACATTCTCTCAGTGGTTTTTGCATAAAAACATTGAAAATCCGATTTTTTTTAAAAACATTCTAGCGGCTAACGGGTTATTAAATTTACATAATACTCACACGTGGACCCAAGAAAATTCTCAGACCATCCGTGAAGCTGGTAATGAAGCTTGTGTGGAAAGTAGAGGACGACATTTTGAACATTTTAAGTACAAAAAAGTGCGGAAAAACAATGTATGTATCAAAATTGTGTTATCTATTTATAAGTGGATTTTTTTAATAGGTTCGATAAACTTTCACATACCAGGTGAAGCGCTGAGACAGTTAGTGGTAAGTCCGTTTTTTTTAATTGTTTGCATTTCACGAGTACATTATCAAATAATGAAATAATACCTAAGAGCCAAAAATAACAAACTCCGTCTTTATTTACACTGCGTTCCGTCGAAATTTGCGTCTGGCGTTGCGGCGTTGTCAGATTTTATTTTACTTTAGTCGCCTTTCTCTAAAAAATGCCGTTTTAACCCTCACGTTATATGAAACTTTTTGCTTCTTTTAACCCCCTCTATCACCCATTTAAATAATGACTATCACAACGTTTACACTCTGTATATATATATAACTTGAGACGTGGTCATTGTCGTCTAGACCAGTTAGGTGAAAAATTAAAGCTTCCGCCTTTTGTTGGGTACATCGACAAAAATTTAAGCAAAGAAGTGTGGAAAGTATTATCTGAGATGCTGATTACCCTTGTTTTCATCTGTTTCACCAGGTTGATTTTAATCCCTAGCTTATGGTATGTCCTAAAATTGAGAAACCGGCCTGAGGCTATAGGTTTCTGGTATCAGTCTACTAATAAACTACTGTTGTTGGTGCGGATGAGTCTTGTGTCTAGAAAGGGGACAGACAGGTTCTCATCTTCTTTTTCAATGGTAAATTGGATGTAGGGGTCATAGCTGTTGAATTCTCCGACAATACCATCCAGACCTCTAGAGGGGAGGCATAAAATAATGTCATCTACGTATTTTTTTTATGAAGAAGAGGTTATCGGGTATTGTCGGAATAACAGTATCAAGCAGATCATCCATGACATATTCTGTCCTATGGGATCTGTTCTATCACAAATTTAAGTAAACTATCAAAACTGTTCACCAACAATGGTTATCCGAAGTGTCTGATCAACAAGATCTTATTTAGTTCACCTCCCAGTATTTTGTCAAACTCTAATGGTACAAGTAATAGTATCAGAACCACTAATAACAGAACTGATAGAAATCCCAACAACAACATCAACTCAAACAGTACAAGCACCAACCCAAATTCCAGACCTGGTTTTGCTGTCCTACCCTATATCAAGGAACTGACTCCTAAGCTGATCAGATTGTGCAGTCCTTTGAACTGTCGTATTGCTTGCAAATCCGTCCTCACTATAAACTGCATTTTTTCAAAAATGAAAGACAGAGTCCCGCTGCTTGGCTTAACCAACACAGTCTACTCTGACAATTGCAACAACTGCAACCAAATATACATAGGTCAGACCTCCAGATCTCTAAAAGGAAGGATTACATCACACAAAAGTGATTCTAGGCTTCATCCTGCAAGATGCGCTTTAGCATCTCATGTTAACACAACAGGGCACTCTATGAATTACACAAGTATCAAAGTTCTCGATAAAGAAAAACACCTATCCAAACGTTTATTCCTGGAAATGTCCCACATTTTCATGAATAACAACTGTATCAATAAAAAGACAGATGTTAAGCAACTGAGTGTCATTTACTCATATTTGCTAAACTGCGAAAAATTGGAGCACTTACACATCTCTGCAAATTTTGACTCTTCACAACTATAAATGGAATCTGTTTCTTGGTCTATTCCACCAATAAACTTTATTGCATTAAAATTTTAATAATTTTCTCCTCACGATTTATTAATAATTTATAGTCAATTCAACTGCCTCTGGTCGGTTTGACAATTTCTTATATAACACATTTCTGAAAATCACATCATCTGAAGTGATTTGGCAATGTAGCACACGCCCACAAAATAATTCGTTCCATCTTTCTACACAGACACTGACAACCTTCGGCCTTCTGTCAAAGGGTTCATCTCACTCATTATTCCATGTCCACCATTTTGTGCAATCATCAAGTGGCTTCACGATGTAATGCTTTCATGTTCTAAAAATTTGTAATCTGTTTTTACCTTGTTCTTGTCACACAGTTGTGTGTATTTTATAAAATGTTGACCATTTATCCAGCTTTCACCATGTTACTGGATGTTTCCCTCATCCTGAACGTAAACAACAATTAGCAACGTCCTCACATACTACTGTAAGTTAAGTCAATTTAAATTCATTTTACACTATTGTTGCTATTGTTATCAATGTAATTGCAGCTCCTGATGATGATGGCAAAGTCCATTGAAAGCTAGAGAGGATAAAAAAGTATAAAGAGTCCTCTTTGCTTAAATTTTTGTCGAAGTACCCAACAAAAGGCGGAAGCTTTAATTTTTCACCTATATATATACAGGGTGACTTTGAAGTTGAGTCATTAATTTTCAGATAATGATTGTAGAAGGAAGATAAACCAAAATATGTGTGTAAAAATTAAAAAAAAATAAAAAAAAAATGTTACCTTGTTTTATAAAGTATCCTCCCGACAAGTATTTCAGTGCGTTCCTGTATTTGATCGTGCGGTCTTGGAGCACCGGCATGCCCTCCCCTGTGAGGTCTTAAGTCACCTGATTCACGAGCCCTTTGTACTACATTAACAAAGGCACGAGGGGTTGGTTGCACTCGATTGGGAAACCGATCCGCATAAATCCGTGATGCCGCGTAAATAAGAATCATGTCCACAAGTTCAGCATTTTCGTAAAAATGTGCCATTTTTGATTTCGTTTGAGCTACGCAACAGACACCACTATTCACTCAGGCGTTACCGACTGACACTAACTGTATACAACTGAATAAAATAATTGTAAAAACATCGTTCCAAATTCTTTCGCTTTTTTGTTTCCGATGCGATGAACCGATAAGGCGAATTATATCCGTTGTTGCCAAACACGAGCACATAATATTATTATTGAGACAGGGCGGTACTCAAACTTCTAAAGGGCTATAACTTTGTTACTTTAATTTTACCAGAAAAATGGTAGAGGAAAAAAACATTTCTTTTGATCAGATCTACTCACTGTTAAAATAAATCACTCAACTTCGAAGTCCCCTGTATACAGGGTAAAATTAAAGTAACAAAGTTATAGCCCTTTGGAAGTTTGAGTACCGCCCTGTCTCAATAATATCATGTGCTCGTGTTTGGCAACAACGGATATAATCCGCCTTATCGGTTCATCGCATCGGAAACAAAAAAGCGAAGGAATTTGGAACGATGTTTTTACAATTATGTTATTCAGTTCAGTTATACATACAGTCAGTGTCAGTCGCGTGTGAATAGTGTCTCTTGCGTGGCTCAAACGAAATAAAAAATGGCACATGTTTATGCGGATCGGTTTCCCAATCGAGTGCAACCAACCCCTCGTGCCTTTGTTAATGTAGTACAACGGGCTCGTGAATCAGGTGACTTAAGACCTCACAGGGGACCTCACGATCAAATACAGGTCCGCACTGAAATACTTGTCGGGAGGATACTTTATAAAACAAGGTAAACATTTTTTTTAATTTTTTTTTATTTTTACACACATATTTTGGTTTATCTTCCTTCTAGAATCATTATCTGAAGATTAATGACTCAACTTCAAAGTCACCCTGTATATATATACTTATGTGGTTTGCTACAGCGCCATCTATGAGACAGTACCCTTTTCAAAGTAGATTTATAATTAGTGCAGAGGAGCGAATTATGGTTGTGACGAATTCTCATAGATGACGCTACGGTTTCTCACTTCATCTCTGATAACTTCTTGGACGCTAGAATATATTTGTAATGTTAGGTTGAATACGTGAATCAATGCGGATACTTAAGATCTGCTAAAGTAAAATCTGCTACTTCAGTCGCGTCCAAACTATAATCATTGTTCTTTGACAACTTAGACATTTTTTAGCTTGTGTACGATGTCGACTTAGTACGGTTATCTATATCTTCTAGAATTTAGCCAGGGTGGTGTTCGGCCAATCAGAGGACTACAACGTCATATCCGTTGACTGGCAAAGAGGAGCTGAGCCACCATACGACCAAGCGATCGCCAATGCAAGAGTCGTTGCTCTAGAGGTTATATTTCTTCTGAAGGAACTCAAAGTTCGATAGGTTAAAGACAAAATTGTGCTCATAGCTGATAACAGTGTTTTTTAGGAGAACTTCAACTACACATTGGATAATGTTCATATAGTGGGACATGGTGTCGGGGCACATATTGCCGGATATGTTGGTGCGACGTACAACGATATACGCAAAATCACAGGTAAAAATGGCGTCAAGTAGGTTGATTCTGCGATTCCCACGCAAGACTGTCATCAGTTCATAAAGGATTATTTTAGACACAAGTTACCCGTCTGAAAGAAAGCTAATCAAGAACATGTATAACAAACGGATTAAATGAATCCAAATAGGCCTATTCAATTAGTCCGGCATTGCGATCCGATCACAGGTGCGATGACTAAACCTCAGCAGTGGTCAAGACGGGTTCGTTTTCCATATTCGTTTTATTTACTCGGCGGATAACACCGAAACAAAAAATCGACTCCATGTCGGTATTTCTATCAAACTGTCTCGAGGACAAATGTGCGGGGAAATCTATGTGTGGGTAGAATTATCGGAGCTATTATTATTATTATGATTACTATAAAATTCAACAAATTTTATGCTATAAATACAGGGTGACTTTGAAGTTGAGTCATTAATTTTCAGATAATGATTGTAGAAGGAAGATAAACCAAAATATGTGTGTAAAAATAAAAAAAAAATAAAAAAAAAATTTTTACCTTGTTTTATAAAGTATCCTCCCGACAAGTCTTTCAGTGCGGACCTGTATTTGATCGTGAGGTCCCCTGTGAGGTCTTAAGTCACCTGATTCACGAGCCCGTTGTACTACATTAACAAAGGCACGAGGGGTTGGTTGCACTCGATTGGGAAACCGATCCGCATAAACATGTGCCATTTTTTATTTCATTTGAGCCACGCAACAGACACTATTCACACATCGTTCCAAATTCCTTCGCTTTTTTGTTTCCGATGCGATGAACCAATAAGGCGGATTATATCCGTTGTTGCCAAACACGAGCACATGATATTATTATTGAGACAGGGCGGTACTCAAACTCCCAAAGGGCTATAACTTTGTTACTTTAATTTTACCAGAAAAATGGCAAAGGAAAAAAACATTTCTTTTGATCAGATCTACTCACTGTTAAAATAAATGACTCAACTTCGAAGTCACCTGTATATGGTCGAAAATTAAATTTTCCAGATATTACAATTTTTGTGATTTTGTGATTATCTGTCACACAAAATTGAGCACTGAGTTCAAAGAATTGAAAAATGCCTAAGGTACATGTGAGGATTCAATCGAGTTTTGTAGCTTATACTCGATTTGAGCTAATAAAAAGCGCAAAGATACTACACCCAATAAAATAACAGATACAAAAGAAATAAGCTGCTGTCCCAGTGGTTGAAATGTACCTTTAATTTCTTCGGATTCTTGATATATACAGTAATGGACAAAAGTATATAGATAAATTAATGTTGCGCTGTATTTCTTTTTTAACTTGTTTTATTAATACACCAACCTGTATACATAATTCGTTATAGCATAATACTCACTTATACATAAATAAATTTATTAGACTCTCTTCAAAAAAAAATTAATTGAAAAAACTGGAACTATGACGGACAAAAATATATAGACAAAGCAAAACAATTATAGAAAAAAGAAGCAAAGTTCATTGAATTATAGAAAACCAACCATATTTGTGTTAATATTTTGTAGCATAACCATTATTATCAATCACCGCCTGGCATCGTCTCGGCATAGATTGTAGAAGTTTCTTGATATAAGATTCATCAATCTGTCTCCACTTTTGCTCTAAAGCCGCAAAAAGTTCTTCCTTTGAACAATGTTTATCTCGTATTTGCTACCCATAGGTTTTCAACGAGGTTTATATCAGGAGACTGTGAAGGCCATTTGAGAACTGGTATTTTTTCATCCAGAAAGAATTTCTTTGCGAGATTTGAAGTGTGCTTCGGGTCATTATCTTGCTGGAAGATTGACCTTAAGGGCATATTGTCTTCCATATAGTGTAACATGACATGCTTTAGTATGTCTGTGTATACACACTTTTCCATAATGCCACCTATTCTATGTAAACGTTCCATCCTAAACCCGAAAAGCACCCCCAAACCATAACAGACCCGCTCCCATGTTTGACAGTGGGCAAAGTGTACTTGGGGTTCAATATTTGTCCACTAGGACGTCTAACGTAATGAACACCATCCGATCCAAACATATTGAACTTGGATTCGTCACTGAAACATACCGTCTTCCAGTCACAGATGCTCCAATCAAGATGCAACCGTGCAAATTGTAATCGGTCATTACGGTTTTTCCTCGAGATTAGCGGCTTCTTACTCGGGCGACGTGCAAATAACTTCAAATCATTTAATCTTCTACTTATAGTTTTCGTAGAAACACTGACAATTCCTTTTATCTCGATTTCGGATTTTATTTGTCTTGGGGTTTTAAACGGATCTTTGGACTATATTACTTTCATTAATCTAACTGATCTAGCATTTAGTTTTCTAGGCTGACCACTTCTCTTAGAGGCTTCCAAGATACCTTTTTGTTTACATTTGTTCAATATTGCCCAAACTGCTTTACGCTTCAGCTTAAAATTTTTGGCAATGTCGACTTGACGTTGACCATCTTTGTATAACTCAATGATCTTAGTTTTCACATCGAAAGCAATTTCTGAACCACGCGGCATGGTTTAAAATCACTCAACTTATTCCACAATACTTGATGAACACAAACTAATCCTCTTCTGATACGAAACTGTACTAAACTAATGTTGAAAAGAATTTGTCTACATATTTGTGTCCCTCATAAAAAAGTGTTTATATTCAGATTTGTATTGTGTTCATTGCAGATAATGTAAAAACAAGGAATTTAGTTTTTCTACTAATAACGCATTTGTTTATGGAGCAATGAAGTATGAATTCGTTTTCTAAAGGTATTTAGGTAAATATTCACATTTGTCCATATACTTTTGTCCATTAATGTATGTATTGAAAAGTGCCTTCTTGCAAGTTTGCCAACGGTTCGGCATTTCTTTTCGCTTTCTTCAGCGCTATCGAATGAGATACAAAGCACGTCCCAAAGGATGACATACATCCGTTAGGTCAGATATAAAATACAAATTAATGAATACAATACGAAAAAATAAAACAAAGTGATGCCAGATCAGACTATAATCTTCAAAACGTTCGCAACTTGGAGGACACTTTTCAACACCGATATATCACACCAATCCGAAGAACTTAGAAGAACATAAAATAACAATTCTAAAAACAAAATTGCTTTTTTTCCAGCTTTCTTTAGAAAGCAGTTGCGTAATACGTAAGAAACGCGTGAAAATTCAATTTATATTTCCATAGTTAGAATTCCGAAAAATAAAATAGTTTATGCTCTTATTTTTTGTGTCTAGCTGTAAAATTTGCTAATTCATTGACCATACAAATTGCTAGGAAAACTTGCCCATATAGTCAACATTTAATTCTAGGGTTAACCGGTTATCGGTTATTTAGCTTGACGGATATTTTACGGGAAATCGACCATATGCTTTTCATTAGATCCATTACTTCAAAAACGCATTCCCACTGATAGAATTTGTTATGAGAGAATAAACACATTTAGCTGAAATAATTATTGAAATTGTCGATTAGCCAAAGATATCATTTTTCGACCCAAATCGGTTTGAATGGCTATTTGATAAGAATAGTATCTTTTAAAGCAGCAGCGTCGTGGAAAGCTCACTATATGGGCAAGTTTTTCTAGCTAGACACAGTTTCATTTTATGGGAAGGCGAAAACAAAACCAATTTTATTTTTGCTTTCCACACAGATTGGCGGATGTTTTTTGGATATACATCACATGTAGGGGAGTGTGGAGGATTTATCTCATTTCTTTTATGTTAGTACATTTACTAGCCATAACACAAAAACATTTGGCCATTACGTAATTTTATCTAAAAGTTTGTTCATTTTTGTAAGGTTAAAAATTAATTGTTTTTCTTCTATAAGGCAATGTATATTGTTTACACGTCATATTAACAAAACTGTTTTCAACTAATATGGTATTGAAATGTAAAATCAAACTAATATTGATAAGAACGAAACATTTTGCTGTCGCATAAATGTTCGGACACGATATTATAAAGAAAGTAATAGCAGGCCATGGTAACAAAAAAAGTTCATAATTCGAAGTTTTGAATCATTTCTGTGAATCAATTTGCTTTAAAATGTCGCATGGTAAAGTAAAAAACGATACAATTAGAGTTTTAATCATACAATATTTCCTTGAAACAAATTTTATCACCTGATTTTAGACAGATATAGAAACTTTATTTTTCAACAAGATATAAATATTTTCGCCCTTGAATGACCTTCCAATAGATTTAAATATTATCGAAACTGAACGGCATAAAATGAAGCAGCAGTTAAGAAATGATCCACAGCGAAACATTTTTAATTAACGAGTAAAACTACAAAATGTATGGGATTCTTTTAAGACGGAAGACTGCGAATACGTTGTTAAAACTACGCAGGCTAGAATTAATGCGAATGCGAGACATAACGAGCTACTGAAATGTTGTATGTCTTAACCAAGTATTGTTGTTATCAATATATAGCTTTATAGTTTAATATCATATTACTTCATAATAATTTTGTTAATATGATAACCGAATAATAGATTTCAATGCATTATAAAAAAAAATATTTTGTAACCTTAAAAAAATAATCACACTTCAAGATAAAATTAAATAATGTCCGAACTATTGTGTGTTAGGGCTCACATACCTACGCTAATGACCTTGGTAATTCTAAGCATCTGTTAGAGATACTATATTTCATAATCATAGATTTCTCTATACATTAGCCCTTTAAAAAAAATCCTCGGCAGTCGGATCGCGTACCTACCGGCCGTGGCTGCTGCTCCTGGCGTCATGACGTCGACCTTGGTGATTGTTCTGTTGCTCTGTTATGGTATCACACGTATTTCTGCCATGCCACGGCATAGTGTTTCCTATGCTCTGACCGCGCTGCCACGTCTAACCGAGTTAAGTATCGGGCAGAGGCGACGTTTCCAGATGCACTATCGATAGGGAAGGGAAAGAATGTCTATGGACTAATTATTGTATGGAACTGTTTGACTGACTTTTTTCTCAGAGGATCAAGTTTGTGCTTATGAACTGATAGCGGCGTTTAGTGGTAGGTGCAGAGACCGCCTTTCATTTAAGTATACATTAGGTAAATTGATCTAATTCTTACATGGTTTTCTCATTATTTACCCCCCAACGGCACAATTTTGCATTAAAAATTCACAAACATTGAAAAAAGTTCAAACTGTTAATGTATTTTGCCAATTGAAATTTTTTTCTTTTTCACTGGGCCAGAATTTATTCTTACTAATTCGGCAGCTATTTTTAGGAGTTCACAAAATCAATGTTTCTTCACTTGTATAACTATGTATTTATTTACAGGTTTAGATCCAAGTGGCCCAAGATTTGATGGTATGCCTGACATTGTTAAGCTCAGTCCTACAAATGCTAAATATGTAGAAGTTATTCACACAGATTCCTACAATGGTAACGTATCGAACATCTTTTAATGTGGCATCGTGGATATTCGAGATTTGGGTTAGCAGCACCAACTAGGAGAATTCAAAATTATATCAGTACGCTTCTCAAAATCTTCAAAATTGGTGACTAAAAAATTTCATGTATTTTAAGCAATAAAAGAATTTAGTTTTCAATTCCCTTGTTTGGTGCTCGCTACCCTTAGAGATTAACTTGTAATTATTTCTCTTTGTAGGGCGGAGTCAGGGTACTAAGGAGCTATTGGGACATAGTGACTTCTTCATCAACAACGCTGATGCCCAACCAGGATGTTCAGAAAACAACACTTTCGGCGATGTGATATTAGTTGATAGGAACCAGTTATCACATGGAGAAGTACTCCCTGGATGCAGCCATAAGAGATCTTTCAAGTACTTCATCGAGTCGCTGATGCATGGCAGTTGCTCTTTCATAGGAATAAAGTGCAACAACTACGAAGACTTCTCTAATGTAAAGCAATAGTATTGCAACATGAAGTTCTTTCCAAGGTTCTTGACGTCACCGTAAAACTACCGGTATCACTTTCGTAGATCCATCTCCTTCATACACACATTATACGAGTACTATCTGCCTCTGTGAGCGAACCTTTATTTGTGTAAGCGTGGCACGAAAAAACACATGTGCTAAGTGTAGAGCTAGATCACAAAACAGATCAACTCATCAGGAAGCCAAAACTAGAACCGAGGAAGTTTAGAACAGTACCTACCGGGAAGCTGTACCAAGTGGTACAGAACACTGCTGGATTGAGTACTGTAAAGAACCACGCAATTTCCATATGGAAATCGGCCTTCCGTCAAACTGGTTAAATTTGTGATATGTTGCATATTCCAGCGTCTTGAAAAAGTGTCTTAATGGGCACAATCTCCTAAGTACTAAGGGTTGTGAGATAAAAATGGATGAAGTTGAATTATCTTAGACTATGAAGTACATTGCACATTCATCATTTTTTGAGATCAAGTACGCAGTCGGTCGGAGATGATCAGGAACTCGAAAAAGATACAAAAAACGCGGTTTAGAAGTAAGTCCAAAATAACCTATTACCTGACATTGGAATATTGAATAGTGATAAATGAAAGGCGCATTAAGGAGATGACCGTTTCATCAGTCACTTATATCAGAGTTCTGGTGTAGCTGGCGGAAGTCCGATTTCCATAAGAAAATTGTGCGGTTATTTCGAGGAGCAAGGTACAATGAGCCTAAAAAACAGTGTCACCAAGGACCTTGGTCGAAGGGTCTCCGAAAAGCTAACAGACATACGTTCTTCAGCTTCATTTCGCCACATTGAATATTTGCTCGCCAACGTACGAATATTCCTCATCTATGCTTGTCAATGTCCGTGTGACAACTCTCGTGTCATTGGCGTGCAATTTGATTTTAGCTTCTGTTGGATTTCGTAAAATGAAACACACCAATGCCTTGATATACCACTAGTTGGAAATATCGTTAGTTTTTGCTAAATTTATCGGAATACATGTACTTCCAAAAAGTGAATGAAAGCAAAGGGTCTTTATTTATATAAGCGCCGCACATGTGCGGTTGGCCGTTCTGTTTACTTATTACATTGGTGACGTAAACGTCAAAAACTATGAAAATATCTATTTTATATATATATCTAAATACTGATTGTATGTATTCTCCACCATACATTTGGCTTTGGTGTCTATAATGTATGTTTGTAGTACATCTATGTATCCGGAAGTACAGAGATATTTGAATACTTACTTAACTAATACGTATGGACCATGCACGTAGTGGCGTAGATACCTTGGGTGGCACCCGGTGCGGAAGTTGGTGGTGTCACCCCATCGAAAGTCTAAAGCAATAAATTTTATATGACTTATAAACGTCATGGATCATTTAATATCTATATTTAAAATATTGAACAAACAACAAAACACAATAAAAACTCAGACGTAAAAGGTATTTTTATCTTACAATTAAACTCTCTCCGTTGACAGCTGCAAACTCAGAAATAACTTCATCAAAATTTATATTCTGTATTAACTCGATGGCTAATATGTCAAGATTGCTAAGCCGCGATTGTGTCATTATTGCCGGCGAATAGTTTTTATTAATTTTGGCTTGCTGAAACTTTTTTCACGTGAAGCTGCGGACACGCAAACCGTCATGAAGAATTTTAGTGCAATCATAAGATTTGGAAGAGGATCTGTAAAATCCCATTTCACAATAAACTTTAAAAAATCTAGAGATACCCTATCAGAAACTGTAACATTAGCGGCTTTTAAGTGTCTTCGCAGTCTTGGTATCTCCAAAATTCTGTTTCTGCGACCTCATTATGAAAATCAGTAAATTAGGATGCAGCTAATTTCAGTTCTTCAGTATTCGCCAAAAGCAAAGCATGTCTTTGTACGAATAATGAAGCTAGGTGTTGAAGAGACTTCGACCTTGTCTGGAGTTCAACTCTAAATCGGTTAAGACACCCAGTGTGTCTTTCAGTGTGAGTCCTGCATCACTGGCCATCTCACAAACCACCGGCCTTTTACGACGATGTCGACTTTCTGTTGGAATATCGTAGTCTTCTGATTTTTTCATAGCAATATCTATTGCCTCTTCCACAATGTGACCCCGTTTTTCTTCGATATAAAGACAAAGTGACTCTAATTTTGTAGCAGCTTCGTCAACAGTTAAGCCTTCACTTTGCAATGCAATCTGTGCATTTTTTTGTTTGTATATTGTTGTTAAAGTTGAGTCGCCGGGTGGGTGTCACCCCAATAAAGGTGACACCCGATCCGGACCGCCCCCGCCCCCACTTGCTACGCCACTGCATGCATGTGTTATTTGATTAATGTTAGTATCAGTTTTCAGCTTCTAACGCCGAGGCAAGCCGCGCACCGAATGAGGCAACCTCGGCGCGCCGTGATGTGATTTGCCGCGGAACGAAACAACATGTTGCCGCGAGCAGCGGCATGCTCACAGCTGATCTGTACAGCAGCACATGCTCAGCACTTATTTAGTGGAGCGGTACATTTTGATTTCCTTTTCTTTTTGTTTTATTACTTCGTTTACTTGTAGAAGATTAGATGTCGAAAAATACATAAGCTTGATTAATTTCATTGAATTTGCACGCGAGGACTGAGGGAATTGAAATAAAAATCAAATTAATAATTTATCATTCAGATCGAAGTGGAGCAATGAAAAATGACTAGATTCAAGTACAGAAGTTAGTGCCACAATTTGTAAAGAACCAAAAATAGACTCGCCCTCGCCCTGAGGCAAATGCTCATCGAGAATTCCGTACACACTGCGCACGAACGAGGCACGGCTCGGCCTATGCTCACTTTGATAAACCGACAGCCGATGGCTGAGGTCGCGCACCGCATGAGGCAAACCGAGCCTGTTCGCAGCTGTGTACATACTTGCGCATCGCGGCGCGCCGAGGCTGCCTCGTTCGGTGCGCGGCTTGCCTCGGCTCAAGTGTATTCCTGGCGTTACATAAATGGCACTGAATATGGTATTCACTATGAAATCAGCTCACTTTTCTGACTCGCATAGTTACGAGCATCTTTCGCAGATATTGATAATCCAGCTATGAGGACTATTGATCCATCGGTAGTCAACCCTTCACCCTATCCTATTTTTATATTTGGTATCTACGAAGTTGCTTTTCCGATTAAGATATTCAAACTTTCTAATCAACAGTTCGAGAAAGTAGTGTTACCTGTATAGCATATATAAAGATCCAAACTTTATGTTAGTTTCTTACAGGGCAAATGTACCAGTTGTGAGGAAAATGATAGCTGTAGAACATTCGGAGCAAAATCTTATCCCCATTCTATACAGAAGACAGTCTTTTATCTCGATACGGCAGACGATACCCCCTTTTGCAGTGAGTAAAAATACCTTTTTGATTATTTCAGTCTCCCTATCCAGGTTAACACATGGGACTACATTTGTTGAACAAATCATGTTACTCACATTCTGGAGTTCCATTAGACATTTGAGGATGCTCTAGATCTGGAACATTATTTCTCAGATTTTTGATCCCCACCATAATGTTTTCGTTTCAAAAATGTATATTTGCATATATTGGTATTAGTTTTCTCGCTTTAGTGTTCCTGGTGAAAATCAGTGTATCTGTCAAAACAGAAAAAGAGAGGGATGGATACTTTGAGTTTATTTTGGTGGACGAGTCAGGGGATATTACAGAAGCTGTCCCATCTTACAAAAAAGAGTAAGTTTTCCTTTAAGTTAGCTCCACCATACTAGATTTGAAAGTTAATAATTGTATAGGCAGTGCGTTGCGTTCTAAAGGGATTAATCACTTTTAGGTACAAAACTATTAAAGGAGATTCTAAGAATACTTTTTTATACTTTGCTCATCCTCCCCAACTGGGTAGAATAAAAGAAGCAAAAGTGAAATGGAATGAGAAGAAGAAGATTTATTGTTTCCTGTATTGTGATCAACACATAAATGTTGAAAGGGTGGAGATAGAACCAGTACAACAAGGCAAACATAAAGGGTAATATCTAGATTATTAAGCTATACTGTCATTTGTGATTCTGGTGAAAATTTGGTTCTTTAAAAGATACCTGTTTCTTTAGTACATATAGTATTTGTACCACATAATCTCAGTGCATGTTTGAGTGTGCCTTTAAGCCTTTGTATATATAAAAAACATAACAAGCACCTACATTCCAGAGAGGTGAGTATATTATGTCCTCCACCAGAAGGTTCCAAAATAGAGAATGGCGCGTACAAATCATTCTCAATATGCAGCTCAACGTTTGGACAAAACCTTACATCTACAGGATCTCATCATAAAAACAAGAGCGTGACATGTGCGGTAGTTAAGCCAGCTAAGAAGCACAACACAATACATATATCTACAACACCTAAACCATCGAAGCCGTAAATCGACCATTCCGATCTGTCCACGGAAGGTGAGTCACCTTTCTGTTGCTTGAAAGGAAGTAAATTTTAACTTCGAAAAACAACGGTATGTTACGAGTATTACACAGGTGAGGCTGAGGCATTGTAAGGAGTGTAAATGGCAGGACCGGCATACGTACTATGTAACTTGAAGAGTGACATTATATCGATATTTTTGCCACTATGTAGGTTTTCCCATAAAATAGTTCCTTTGATCTAGCTGACATGCACTTCGTGCTCACTTGTAGCAGACGCGCAATGAACTAGCGACCACCTAGTGCACATTTTGCCGTTTTTTGACATTATGTAGTTTTTTTTCGAAATGACGCTACGGCACCCGTATTACGAAACTTGAAAAGTGATATTGTATCAATTTTTTAAGATATTGTGTATGTGTTTTGGACAGTATCTAGGTGTTCCAGGTCTAATGCGGAAATAAATCATCTGTATAATGAACCAAGTATAATAGAAGTAGCTAGAACCAGAAGATTGCAGTGACTCGAGCACCTGGAAAGAATGCCGCAAAAAGAACACTAAAGCACATATCATGGAGACTTCCAGATACCAAGAAGAAAAATGGGAGGATGCGGTTATGGAGGATTTGAGGACTAGGAATATCAGAGACTGGAAGAAACGGGCATTAGACAAGAAGTGCTGGAACAAACTTATTAAGCTTATAGCCTAAAGGCCTGTTTTATAGCTGTCTTTATATCTAGGCGTTCCTATAAAACGTCACGTTTGAACTAGCTGACCATCAGTCACTTTATGTTCACTTGTAGTAGGCGCGGGATTAACTAGCTACACACTAGCGGATATATAGTGAACAGGTTGACATTTTATTGATTTTTTGATATATAGGTTTATTTCGTAATAACCCTGCGTTACCTGCTGATGATACCTTAAGCAATGACTTAGCGGTCGTCTGATTTGTGTGAGTTGGCGAATCGGGTGATAGGAAGTCAAGTTACAGGACGAATATCTTCATTAGGTAGGCATCAAGTGTTGCCATTTACACTACCCATTGCGACAGGCTGAGTAAGACTGGTGGCAATATACCGGACCAGATGACATTTAAACGGTTATTTTACATTTACTTGTACTAATTCAGTATATTGATAATATATTATTAAATAAAACAGTTCCCAATAAAAGATAAACAAGGCCACAGAGAGGTTATGCATAGATAGTTGCCATAAAATGCTCGGACACAAAACAAGCGCTGTTATCCCGTAAACGGATAGGTGTTAACTAAGATGTAAAATTGAATAAAAAAAATCTAATTATTTTCAGCTTCCAGTGATATGCGATGCCCCTTTTGTCCATGGACGCTCAAAGTAGCAAACAGAGACTGTAAATTTCATGTAACACGACGTACAAGTGAATGATTAAGTATGTGCAATAAAATAAAGCTTAATGCATAATATGCACATTTTTTTTCATAATGCACTACTTCATATAATATTATACCGATCATATATTGCAAAGTAGCAATCACAGTTTTATGCAGGAGGTGAGAGTGTCTGCTCAGCGCTTGTAAACTCCGGAGGACTATAGGATTGGTCTGAAGTACATCAATGAACAGTTTGAGTCTTAGGTCCGATTTTACTATTGGCCCGCGAGAATCGAATTGTAATGAATCTAATGAGTTTAGTCAATTTACTTGTAAAATGTCTCTCAAACGAGTGCAAAATCACACCAATCATTGGTGCAGGCTTTCAGAATTGTCAGCCTTCTCCGAAGGTTATGCATCAGATTGCTAAATTCGCACACGTAGTTCGTCCATATGTGTCTACCTTAGATGAATACCTCTGAGAAGGAAATCAGGTAACATCTTCAAAAACGATCTGTATACACTCGCAAAGCTTCGGTTGCATTTTTGCCTACGCGGTGAATGACTGGGTTGAGTACCGACACGCATCGTACCTTTTCGCATCTGGCTGGTTTTACGGAGTCTATATCTCGGTTATATCAAGACTTTGATGTATATCTTACAAGAAAAAATCGCTTCTCGAATATCTACACGCCTAGTAGAAAGTCACAATTTAGAGGACACCTTCTAGAGAAAAACGTATAATAGAAAAGTTGCAATAGTTGCTAATATACAGAGTGCCCACGTATAACTGCAGAGATCATCGAAATATGGCGTAAAACAGAAATGAGGGTTAATAGGACAAATGATGGGATGCGAGTCGGCAAAAATATTTCCAAAATAGTGGCCTTTCCTGTTGTACCTGAAGTAGATACTAAAAAGCTTATTTTATATAGAACATGGTATATTATTCAATCTTTTTCATTTCACCTGTATCATCCTATACCTACGCCAAATCATTTTTGATAAATCATAAATTTTACGTACATATGCAGGTCAAGGAATTATTAACAATTATTCTTTCTCATACCTTCGACATATGATTTGTATGGTTTCTTATAGGGGATCTACTTTCATTCGTGATCTGGGTAGCAAATTTCCTAGGGTGCTAAAAAAGGAATGAGAAGTAGATTTTAGAACATCACGATTGTGTAAAACTACCGAGCTGATGGAAAAACCGAAAAACGATATCTGGCAGCGACTGAAACGAAAAGTGCGGTTAGAATAAATGTTTGACGGGGTGCCAAATGACAATACGAAGTTGTCATAAATATAATCTTTTTTATCCAAAGGCGCATTATTTCATTAGAATTATATCACAAAGAATGGATTTCTGTGGAATGATTCTAATTTAAAAAAAATTAACTAAATTCAGCAACATTTTTTCCAATAAAGTTAAAGAAAAGCTCAAACGTTCAGAAGGACATCTACTTTAATTTCTCGGCATATATCTAGCAGATTAATAGAAACAGGTGTTAGTGTTAATAATTTTAATATTTTCTTCGCTGACATAATGATGAAATGAACCAAATTGCTAAAAGACTGTATGTCATATTATGCACATATTTATTTAACATGAAATTAAAATAACCATTTCTTGAAAGCAAACATTTAACAAATATATTTAACATTAGGATAACAAAAATAAACATAGATTTAACCAATTACATCACCTATATTTACATCTTCACATTTATATCATTATTGTTAACTACAACGCGTTTTTGTTTCAAGCATATTCTATATCTTCTCTCTAAAATTACAACACATTGTTAACAAATAAAGCCGTGTTAGGCCACAGATATGTATGGAAACAGAAACTAACGTATGTAGAGAATGAAAAACTAATCTGCATCACTCAGTGATATACGATGAAACATTTCCAAGATGGATGAAATCATGGGTAGGAATTTTATGTCCTGTCGACAAACGTCCGCATATTTTCCCCATATGTTTAGTAGATTTGAACCCTGCTTTCACACAGGAATTTAAAGGTCGAATACAGCCATTTCAAAACTCTAGCTAAACCAATTTTTACATCATGAATAAAAATACGGTATACTGAAGCTAATTCGCGGGAAATAATACATTGTTTCTATGTGAAAGATATGGTATTCCCAAACTCTTGAATTTCTACTTTGTAAGTCTTAGGTGATTCAATGTTCACTTAATATCGAATTGTGAATCAAGAATTCATTTCGCACAGCTAAGCTTGAGATTGTACATTGTTTTGCCCTAAGAGGCATTTGTGAATCTAGAATTTAGAGAATACGTTAAAACGGCAGTAAGTGCAGCTTCTCAAGTATCCTATAATGGACGATAATGGACGTTTGTCGCAGGACAGCTTTAATCAACACTGATTATTCATACAAAAATTAGCCACAACAACCATATTAAAAATTCGTTAATAATGATGAGCTAGCCATATTTGCAGTGAAAGTTTTCTAGCTCTAGTTGGAAATATTCATCAACTGAAACTGCTGCAAAAATGACTTCAGATCGTACAAACACATTCCACACTAGACTACGTTTTCTCTAATATTGACATCGTTTTTTTTTTGTAAATCAAATCATAAGATGCCACACATTACAAAAAGTAAATGCAGGTAATAACTGTGTACAATTTAGTTTTTTTTGTCAAGCATGTGATTGAATTGTTACCCGTGGTTTTCATAATATCATCATCAAAGTTTTAAACCACTTGTGGCTCAGAGTATTTAGTTGGACACTTCTAAAAGATGCATCCTAAACCTTTCTCAGATTCACAGGCGACTTCGACTCCGTATACATCTATACTAATTAGTTGGAGTGAAATTCACAAAGCCTCAGTGAAAGTGGAAAATATCCTCGACGTTGTCCCCAAAATTGTTTTACTACTTTTTCGTAAGGTTTATGATAACTTCAGTACAATGTCCAATTAGCCTCAAGAAAAAGATATGAGTGGATAATATGGTTTTTAGTTATTCTTCAGAATAGTTGGCGAAAGGTTAAAGGTCCGCCATTTTTTAATTTACAGCTCTAAAAAATGGCTCACTACAGATAACTGCTATATGTCAAGAGGAATGTACATTTGTCTTATGCAACATGTTATGTACACAGTCTGAATAACATTACACTGAGTTGAATATTTTTGAAATGGTGGTACGGAATAATGGATAATGATAAAGCAGAAGTGGTCAGTGAAGGTCACAACTGAGTAACTGTTGTGAGCTATGGACTATAGTTATAGTACCATGTAAAAGAACCAGGCACAAAACAGATGGAACATGGGCATGGGTCCAAATCGATTTGCCTTAGCATTCAGTATGATATATTTCTTTCCTTCCCGGACAAAAGTGTCAATTGTACCAAAGCAATCCTATGATTAGTTTCTGAGAAATATTCGGATAAAGTTTGTCTTATTTGCAGAAATTGCCAATGTGCCGATTGTAGTTCTCAGATCAAACACTCAGAGAATCAGTATACTAAAAAAAATTTTTCCTTATAACACCTGGTAGGAAGGTGGTGGGATGTGTCATGTTGATCAATAGAATCTACAATGACTATCGAATGGATACAAAGATTATGTCTTCCTTAAACAAAATATTTAATTTGCAAAAAATGTTAAATCAGATCCATATTTCGAGATTCCTTTTGTCCACTTACACTAATCCATACGCCATTCGAAGTCTTTTGTTACAAAATTTTCCTAAAAAGTGTCTAGGTTCGCCAAAGATTAGTACTTTTTAGTGGAAGACGTACTTGTATTAAATAGAAGGTACCCTGATGTCACTATATTGATAGACCAGTTGGGTATTCCATGAATCTCGTTCGAGAATTATTCAAATACTGCATGTAACAAATCTAGGAGCATTCATAAAATAGCTTATGCTTTTATTGATAGTTACCATCATCCGATTATTATGAAGGTAGATTAGTTCATCAACTGTTAGCAACGGCGCAAGAGGCGGGCGCCGGTCTAGCATTAGAGGAAGTAGAAGGTACCCGGTAAAAGGATCTACTCACGTTTTTGACCAATAAAGTGTCGACTGTAGATATTTCATCAAAAGCTTATGAAAATAACGGGGTTTTACTCTTGTAATGATAATGTAGATGTAAATCTGGTCTTCGAACTCTAGGCATATGTGGTTTTTCCAGATGCTCTCCATGATACTAGGGTCTGGTTATCCTTCGAAAAGGTTGACTCAAACCATTCGATATCTTGAAAGCAAACCAAAGCAAGAAAACTAGAATTAATCGTTAATAAAATACAAAAGCCTGAAGCTATGTTCACATTTGTGCACGTCTTCTATCCCTTCCACTTTCAAAATCAACCTTAATTTGACCTTCTAAAGATCATAGTCAATTACAAAGAAAAAACCATAACATTTACCTGGCCTTGAAAAGCTACCTGCCCTAATGAGTTTTGTGAATTCTTGGGCAACTCGTGCTAGATCTATTATAGCATAAGTATATGAAAATCGAACTTGACTTGAAACTGACCTGGTAAGGATCATGGTCACGATCAACATGCGACTTTCCAACATCTTGCTACAAGGAATTTTTACGAGATAATTCTTATAGTATATTGATTCTAGGAGTGTTTGGTCGGACAACTAAAATCAATACATTCAACATTTTTGCAAATCGGGGAACTATCCGCCTCTGTATCAAAAACTAGTCATAAGATTGCTTTGGCTCCATGGACATTTTTGTTCGTAAAGGCAGGAATTTTTAGACAATTCGACTGAGACCTACTTTCCATATGTTTTGCCTATGGTCCTTTCGAGATTTTTCACATATGTACGTCTGTAGATCGCCTTCTGCTTGTAGCCCATCAAGTGAAATAGTATTTAGGCAGGTCCCTGAATTGATGTATGGGATTTCTCAGAAAACATAGTTATTTGAGAAAAGTACAGTTTTTCAAAAGGATGTAATCATAGGTTTCAAAAGCACATTCTCTATTATAGCTAAAGCTAATAAATTGGCGAGATTTACAATAATTTTTCAAATCCTAACCTTTCAACAATCCTGAGTAGCAAATCATACCTTAAAACCTCTACCGTTTCATATTTTTAACAAAAACTCCTCTGCTAACGTTACCATGGCCAATTACAAATTAGCACTAGCTACTACCATACTTCGTTCTCTGTCGTTTCTCACTTTGAACTTGTTCATATATCGCACTCTTTTTGCATTCCTTGAATTAATTAGTATTTTCAGTACATTTTATATAAGATTTCACGATTTGACTAATCAAAGCTGTTCTATGTCTAACCCCGTGCAGAAACTTCTGCTTTAATACCTTATTTCGAACGAATTTCCTCGAACCAAGTTCTTCATAAGCAAAATCAATTACGACTTATACATATATTGAAGTTAAAACTTAGTTTTGCGCATGCATATTGTCAGTCTCGATAAAGTAAACAAAGAACAGGAAGAAAACTAATATACCTTTCAGGATTATCGGATGTTCCATGATGTCTCTTTCCCAAGATTTCAATGATAAACATAACAAAGCGATATTGGATAGTATGCTATGCTTATGTCATAGACGTCTCTTGTTATGGTTACCACTCCTCCCTCAAGACAGTTAATAGCATAGCGACGTTTTTTAACAGAGGCTATAGAAAATGTCGCAAGCTGATGGGATGTATTTATTTTATGTAAACATGGTGCCGTACTACATTCGCATAAACAGACATCAAACGAACAAACGAGGTTTACTGTAGAAGCGACACCTCGAAAAATCTAAGGATATATTGATTGCACCTGAAAGGTATACCCGCATCCATCATTTTGGTTCAAACATCAACAGTGTAGATAGACCGCCCTGCAGAGCGTACATTCCGACAAAGTGAGACGATTAACAGTTACAGTTGGTAGCCTGGGGACCCTGTGGAGCATCCGTCAGCCTCTGGCCCTTGGCACCGCCACTCATCAGGGTTGGGTCAGTGTCCAAGCTGTCGGACATCTTGTCGCAGATGATGTCTACCAATCGCTCGAACACTGCCTGGAAAGATGTAATAACGATTCGCATGAGATGGTATTAAAAGGCGAACGAGCAGAATGGGGGAGTTGACAAGAGGCGTATAGCTTTACAAGGATAATGCTCCTAGCAGTACCTCCTGCATTTTTAAGAATAAAGAGAACAAGTGCGATATTGAAAATTACACTCAAATCACGATTATCAACAGCTTTTCAAAAAGTGTATAACTTTCTTATTTACGATGCAGTTTATTGGCATGTGCATAATACTTCAATAACTCAACAGCATGGTATCATGAAAAAGCGATCAACACTTCACAGTATATATCTGGAAACGTAACCAAAAAGCCGAAAATAGCATTCGATTTTTTCTATTACCCACGGTTTTATTGCAATAAAGCATTTTATTTGCCGCTTATACGTAAAATATAAGGATATGTGTGTAAGAGTACTAATAAACACTCGAATAAACATTCATCTCAGAATCTTGTTGTCGATGTCTTACGGCGATATGTTGCTCCTGAAGTATCTCTTAACAATGTTCAGCGATAATCAGCAAGCAAATTGATACTCCATTTGCCTTGATACCGTTTTTCCATAGCAGAAATGTCTTGGTGGACCGTTCACCATGTTTATCACCTACCGCACCTACATTTTTCGGAAAAAAATCGAGATGAGAATCCAAAAAGTGAATTATTAGAGACATGTTACATCCCATTCCTTTATAAGCATTAATTAGTTCACTCACAATATCTTTATAATTGTCCGTCTTCACATTGCCTAAATAACTTGCAGTAACTGATTTAAAAGCATTCCAAGCTCGTAATTCAGTTTCTTTTAGAGCACTGTCAAATACAACATCCTTCATGATTTTCCGTATTTGTGGACCCACAAATACCTGTGCCCTCTTTAATATTTGCCTCACTAAGTCTCGCAAATGCAGAAACCCTCTTCCATTGCGATCCATAGCAACACGTTTTTGGGATCAACTAATGGTTCATGAGCAATGTTTTTGAGGCCCGGAGTTAATACCTGACATAGTGGCCACTCCTTCTGTTCATAATGACGGTCTCGCGCACGACTGTCCCATTCACAAAGAATGGTATATCCCAGTTGCTATTACCTTTAAATCTGGCCCATCCATATTCACTATAACGGATATGCTCTAACAGAACTCGCATATTTTCATATGATTTCTTCAGGGTCCGCCAAAGGAACCTGACGTTTTCAGAATGGATAGTACGAAGCTGTTTTTTGACGTAGAACATAGGTTACAATGGGCAAGACATCGGTAGTAGATGCCATTTCAGTAGTCATGGAGCTGTGGACATGTGAACATCGCGCATTTGTTGTCGAGACGTATTTTAAAAATCACGACTCGGTGATCATTACACAGCGTCTATTTCGTACACATTTCAATGGACGTCATGGTTCTGTTCCATGCCGTAACACAATTAAGTTGTGGGTCAAAAATTTTCGTCGATCTGCATCAGCAATGAAAGCTAAGCCACCAGGAATGCGTCGAACAGTTCGGACTCCAGCCAATATTGAGAGGGTGCGAACAGCGGTGCAGCAAAGTCCACGTCGTTCAGCTAGGCTGCAAGCAATTAGTCTAAGGCTTTCAGAAACAACAGTGCGGCGTATTTTGCATAAGGACTTACATTATCACCCTTACAAATTAGCGATGGTTCAAGAACTGACAGCTGAAGACTTTGTGAACCGTTTGACTGCAAGCAACCAGCTTCTGGAACTTTTGGATGAAAACGCTTTAGGTGTCTTAATTATGTCTGATGAGGCGCATTTCGAGTTATCAGGCTACGTAAATAAGCAAAATTTTCGCTACTGGTGTGCAGAAACCCCGAGAGAACTTCACCAGCGACCCCTTCATAGTCGCAAGGTTACTGTTTGGTGCGGAGTGTCGCGATTCGGCATAATTGGACCCTATTTTTTGAGGACGATGCTGGAAATTCTGTCACGGCCAATTCGCAACGTTATCTGGAAATGTTAAACACATTTTTGGAACCAGAGCTTCGTCGATGGAACATAGATTTAAATACTGTATGGTTTCAGCAAGATGGCGCCACAGCGCATACAGCACGAGCAACAATGGTTCGACTGCGAGAAATGTTTCAAGAGTCATTTCGCGGAATGGAGATGTTCCTTGGCCGGCAAGGTCTCCCGATCTCACGGCTTGTGACTATTGGTTATGGGGTTATCTCAAAAGCAAGGTATATTTAACGAGCCCCAGGACCATTGAAGAATTGAAGGAAAACATTCGCAATGAAATTAGCGCGATTCCGATGAGTATGGTACAGCACGTAATGGGGAATGTGCGAAACCGTTTGGAAGAGTGTGTCCGCAGTGAAGGACATCATTTGACCGAAGTTATTTTCCATACATAAAATGGCATGTAATACACTTTCGATTACTTATATATGAAAATAAATATCTTGAAAGATACATTTGTAGTTTCATATTGAAACTCATCAGGTTCCTTTGGCGGACCCTAGAAACAGATGGATATCTAATACCGTTGTGTATCAATACCGCTTTTAAACTAAGCTTAGAGGAATCAATGAACAGACGCCAATCACTTTTATCATGATTCTGTCCTAACGCGTCAAACAAATTGTTGACATCGGAGCAATATATCAACTCGCTTTCTTGACGGAATTAGTGTGTGAGGTCTTGTTGCCGTTTTCGGTAAAAAGTAATGTCAACATCACCGTGGAGAAGACTCCATCCTTTTAATCTTGACGCTAAAAGTTCTGACTGGGATTTTGACAGATTTAATTCTCGAACTAAGTAATTAAGTTCGCCCTGTGTGATCAAATACAGCGCTGTTGAACATCCTGGCAGGTCAAACGAAGGATCGGAAATGTTTACGTTTTCTGTACCATCACTTTAAGAATCGCTGTGTTCGACTTTTTCATCCAAAGACCAATATTCTGGTGGAACTGGGACAGAAAGTACATCACTATGCTCAACGGGCCGCAAAGCTGATGGTAAATTAAAATACTCAACAGTATGTTTCGATTTTGGTCCAATACCTTTAACATTTGTGAGGCAAAAATAGCAATCACTAGTATGGTCTGTCGGTTCTCTCCAAACCATTGGTACCGCAAAGGGCATTTTACTATTGTGGCCTCTTAACCAACCTGTCAACAACGTTACACAAGTCTTACAAAATATATGAGGGGCCCATAGCTTTTCCTGGCCGCCAACTTTGATTCCAAAATAAAGTTCGTATGCTTTCAACACAAGGGGAGGCAAAGTACGTTTTTGGAATTTATAAGTTAGCTCTCCGCACATACAACAAAACCTGTTGGCACTTTTTAGGCAATTTCTAGGCGTTGTCCATAAAGCTAGTCTCGATCACAATAAACTAAAAACAACACACCGTTTTAACAAAAATTGACAGTACTCAGAACATCACAGTACTCTTCAACACAGAAAATGTAACTGACTCGGCTGCTGTTAGTCTACTAATAAATGCAATATGCTCTTTAAACATATAGCTCGCATATAATAAACAGGAATAGACAGGTCTTACCATTATATATGTCCGTCATCGCATAAACGCCGCGAAATGCAGCAATATCAGATGTTACGTATTGTAATTCATAAAAGTCGATGTTACCGAATATCTGTAGGTGATAGATTAGATTAGATTTGACACTCAAAAATTGTCATGTCACAAATCCTGTGTTTAAAAATGATATAGACTTTCAGTTACATGTCCAGTGTCTTCTATATGCTGACGATCTCAAGCTTCTTTGTCCAATTCGGTCTCTTGATGATTGTGAAAAGATATAATGTTATACCAACATGCTTGATAGCTGGTGACGCAAAAGTAGCCTGCCCCTTAAAGGCTGCAAAGTCTAATATACGAACAAAACTCAATCAATTGTATTTGGTCATGATATTGGAGGTGCGCATCCGAGTTGCTTGAGTGAAGTCATGGATTTAGGTGTCATTTTTGATAGTAAGTCTTGTTTAAATAGTCGTTGAGAGAACTATTGCCCAGAGTTACAAAAGATTGGGCATTATTATGTACGCTGTGGTCGTGAGATACAAGACACTAATACAATTAACGTTTCATATTGCCCACTTTCCGTTGAAAGCTTAGATATCCATCAATTGTTTGTCCACCTTTCTATAATGTTTGTATAGATAAACTTGAAATATCCAGCGACGATTACTGAAGTGCCTACATTTCAAGAAAAATGGTAGGTACCCGCCAACTGGCTATTCTCAAAAATTTTTTAGAAGAAGCCTTTGGTCGAGAAAGTCTCAGGAAAAAGCATGAAAAGTGACCCGTTAATTTCGTGCGTGATATATTGCACAATCGCGTTGATTATTGCAATATATTGCATACTTTTAATTTTATCGTCTCACGTTTAAGTTCTAGAGAATTTGATACCCTTCATTTACCTACCATAGAATAAACATCTTAGTATTCTCCACTATTTTACTGTTGTAGTAGGGCTAATGACGTGGCAAAACAATTGGATATACTTCTGTGAGGTTTTGTCTGCTTAGTGTCTGCATTATCTACTCTTACCTGTATTATGAAATAATTGTGTATTTTTGAAGTCCGGATTATGTCCTACCACTCTGTAAATGGCTGTTGCTCTAAAGTGATTTCAACGTCAATTTCAAATGGAACTCCTCCTTTTTTCACCGGAACTAGTAAAGTTCCCGTCCAAATATGGTGTCGATCATGACCACCACGACGACCTGCAAGGCCACTTCAAGGTCAAATCAAAACACTGAAAACAGTTTGCTGTACCAAAAATGTTTGACAAGGCAGTCTTGAGCTTCGTATGGGTCACGCAAAGGTAACTTTCACTAGGACCTTGACCACCAAGACTGAAGCAGCAAGACACTCGTTTTCATTGTTTCACGTGATTAGCACAGTCACCGCCACAATACTGTCGCTCTGCTGGTCAACTAATTGAAATAGAATTTCACGCTCTTTTGTCCGCACTAGTTTTTTCCGCTCTTTTCATTCGGTTCAGGACTGCTATGCCGAAATAAGTTAGACTGTAATAATACTCGTATGATGCGAATGTATTTTGGTGAAAACGTTCAAACTTAGGGAATTGAGTGTAGCTTCTGGTTTCCTTATTCTGCGCTACTATATTAATAGAATTCACGGGTCAGGACACTTACCCAATTTATTAAATCACATCTACCTAAGTCTAACTAGGTATTTAATAAAGTCTGTACCAGATATGTTTGAATTCGTATTCCGCATACAATAGAAAAATAATCAAAGGTGAGCAAGAGCTAAATCTCTTTAAGGTTGGCACAAGTCCGTTAGGTGACTGACATGTCGCCACTATGCGGGTAATGCAGAATTACGCATTGACACCGTAATTGATTTGAATGCATTAAGCAACAGTGAAGGTGTGATGACGTGTCTACAACGTTTTAAGATGGCTGGATATTGCGCCATAGCAGATATTAAATTTGCGTGTTGCCAATGAGCTAAGATGCGTCCATTACATGAATTTAAATTATATCAATTGAGTTATTAAACGATAAATTATCGACGGATGTACTGGGCCCCTTGTACAGGACATCGTAACGCTAGCAAAAAAATCAATTCCTATGACACATGATATCATGATATTCAACACCGTAAGCTCTTTTGGGTCGCTTATTTCAGATGCTGTGCTAGTTTGGCTCTATGAGGGCATTTGAAGGACACTTCAAGGTCATGTAAAGTACGTTTCCAAAAGAAGCCGAGCAATTCAGCCCAACAAATTCTCATTTAAGTTTTTATCAACACTAAGTCCGAATCACTGGTCAGTTAGTCACAACATCATGACTTCAAGGACAAATTCAAAGTAAGTCTAGTAAACGAGACAAGATAAATGTTATACAGGATTTACGGCCATTGAGTCCTAATCGGCGACGAAATTGTCTTTATGAAAATATTTAAAGATCATTTCATGGCGTCTCAAAGGACATATTCAAAAAAGTCAAGTAAACGGTTCCAGCCAGTTGCTATAATATGGAGGTATATAAGGTTTAGAAAAAGTTGTCTGTACTAGTTTTGATCTGTCAGTACTATAAGATTCATAAGGATCATTTATCCTAATTGTTGCAAAGGACAGACTTTATTAAAATCGTCTCGGAATAATAGTAACATAAGAAAGAAAAAGTAGTACTCCATTAAGCCTGCGATATTCATAAAAGCAACAATAAATAATCACAGATCACTAATACATCAAATTGAAGCTGGTACCTTCTTTGTTATGATCCTTATTCGGATAATGAACTCATTTCTATACACGAAACAATGAATGATACGCTACCTCGTTATTTTGCAACAAAGGTCAACTTTGGCAGTCTACCATAGCCATAGCAAAGGAAGCGTAACAAAGTTTTGCTTCTATAGTCAACTTTTTATATGTATAAGATATTAACTTTGAAGTAGCGAAGCCATTTCATCTTCGTTACTTTGTTTTATGAATTTTTACCAGGTTTACGCATAGATGGCTCTCTGTGCATCCTCACAAAGATTTCTTTGTCACAAGGTAATTACTCACTTTGAACTAGTGAATGTGAAGATAAGACCTAGAGGAGTTTCCCTTATATTGATCGTAAAAGAGTAGCGCTCCCCAAAATACATCCTCGCCTTAATAGAATAGTTCCAAAGCAAGTAAGCCATATGGATAGTGGACGCTTGAGGACTGAGTGTCAATGGGGGGTTAATCAACCTTCGGAATTCGAACAATTACTAACGTACCATTGGGTTACTCTCAACTCAAAAATTTACATTTCCATTCACAGTAGGCTGTAACAGTGGTCGTCACAGGTTTTGAATATTTTCAGAATTATCAAAACTTCACAATTCCTCAAAATTTTTAGTTCTCAAAATTCTGAAAATACCGTGGCAAGGTACCGTTAGACACTGCGAAGTGGTTCCCCTGTCCAGTAGAGGGCGCAAGAGTTACTGCAGTATTCTAGGAAAATTAGCGCTAAACAGGTGTGGACCATAAAAGTAATTGGGAAATAGCAGGTTTTTCCGCGCAGTAGTCAAGTTGAATGTTTTCTTGATGTTTGTTAAAAATAAACATCCTGTTATTTTATTCAGCAGATTTTTGTAAAGCAAGTGCAAAAGTCAATGATCTCGGCATGATGATGGATTGTTCAAAATATATCCCCATTTTTAATTATCCCTCTCAGGTAAGTAGTAACGCTGTTATTTTTAATAAAATTCTCAGTAGTTCATCCTTCGAGTAGGCACCAAATCCTCCTTTTGATTAATCGGAATTGCGACTATATAGGAAATCTCTATTGGCGCTAATTTTGATTCCCGCGGGCCAATAGTAAAATCTGGAAATCTCATTACGGAAGTTTTGAAATATCGGACATTCCAAAAATGCTAGTATTTTGAAAATTTTGAAAACTGTGTCATATTATGAAGATGTTACCTTAGCTGTACTTCGCAACTCCGCCACGATGACTAAGAAATGTTCTGACGAATACGTGGTAGGGCATCATCTCTCACGTTTTTGATAACTTAATGTAAGTTTAAAAAGGGTACGTACTTTATACTGGTCGTTTAGAACACATATATAGAGAATAATGATTCAGGAGCAAGAAGATATAGGTGCCCTTTTACAAGCTCTAAATGTTTTTTATCCAAAAGGATCCTTCCCAATTTTATGATTATCAGCCGTTTGTTGCTCAGGTGGATCCAAATTTCTTGTAAAGGTCATGCGATTTAAGGTTTGCTTTGGATATTTCTTGCAGGCTTTCACAAATAAATTAGCAGTCTATTATGTTTGTATCGCATCGAACTAGATAGGTTTCATACGAACCTTGACATTAATGTTTTCCTTGGCGCTAGTTTCGAAGAACTCTACTCCTAACTGTTCAGCTAACATTTTGCCACGTTCATAACTCACCACCCTGTCATCTTCCATGTCGCATTTGTTGCCCACCAAGATCACCTGTGCATTGTCCCAAGAGTACGTCTTGATTTGCGTTACCCTGAAAACATATTACATAAAATACAGAGAACAGGATATGTACGTACAGATGTGGGTTCTGATAAAAACCTAAGAAAACGATTTTTAGATCCAAATTTCCAGCTTTACTGATACAAAATGTAGCTTAAGCACCTTTTTCCCATTATAATTTTAATATGAAGTATAGGGTGGTCATATTTTTGAGGTAGAAAGTAGGTCCAAATAAATACGGTTCTTGGGCCAAAAATAACCCCTTTCAAAGTCATAAGATGTTGAAGTTTTAAGTTTTCAATCGAAAAGCAATATATGTAGTAGGAGGGTAGCCAATACATACAGACATTTTCGTGCTTAGAAATTGAGTTTAGAAAAGGATAATTGTTTTGTAAGTCCCTCACTTTTTTGAAAAATGTTTTGCATTTTTGAATAAGATATTTGATTTGATATGAATTGTCTGTCTTGGAAAATCTTGGTTGAACTACTCATTTTGGAACAAATTGATTTGATTGGCATTGAACATAGTATACAGTGTATTAGGAGAGTTTCTGTTCATTCAGTCTCTTCATTGACGTAAAAATATACAACAAACACTATAACTCTTAAATATACTATAGGCGACTTTCATAATCGGTTAGCGTATCTTCATTAAGTTAATTCTAAGTAATCTAAACACTTAGTTTGACCTAGTTGGATTTCGAGATTTTATGCTATATCTGAACTTTTTGAACACCTTGTATATGTATATCTTGCTTCTTAAATAAATGTTCATGGTCGTAGCGTGGAATTAGAACACAACGTGCAAGGCACAGCGAGCTCTATAATACGACAATACGCCCATTACGCTCCAGATATATACAATATTTTATCTGCGACCGTCTATAGGGTAAGTCAAAAAGTTAGATTGACCTTTAGGTGGATAACAAATAAATATCTTGACCGTATCATCACGAGATGTCAACAGCTGTTCTCGTGGTAGATGAGCATATGTCAGTTAAAATGTAGCAGTAACTTTACCGACCTAGGACAGTTAAAACAATCCTGGGGGCTAAAATGTAAGACTTATTGCCCAGAAAATCTATCCACAGTTTACCCCCTGCTCCTGTTATAGATAAATGAATTCCATAAGCAATATAATCATGTAAATGTTAAGGCACATAAAATACAAATCGATACTTAATCACGAAAGGCATTATTTATCAGGCGTTGTTAAATAATTTCCCTATGGTGCTCTTAGGTACCAAAGGTTGCTACATTTTCTAGACTCAATACTTGCTATTCTTGTGCTCAGACACACCAGACCAACTTTAAGCTAAACTTAACTCTAACTTTCTTGGTTTTGTTGTACCAGGTACACTTAAACTTGAGTTGAACTTAAACAGACAGTCTAAATCAAAATGTTTTTCGCTTAAGGTTGATTTTTTTTTGATAATTGTCAGTTTAACATCTTTATGATTTGACCTAACCACTGTCTGTTAAATCCTGGGTAGATTAAAAACTGCGTACGTAGAAAGTTCACCCAAGCATTTCACTAAGTTCTAAAAGGCTCCCATGATGATAATATTTTGTAGCTACTTATCAGAAACAACTAAGTATGACTATGAATTGTTAGAACGCCTATTCTGATCCAAAGACAGTGTTTCAGCTAATCGAAATTCTATTTACATGATCAAATATAATAATGGTACCAGAAAGAAATTACTTTCGGTCAATCAAGTGGGAATTCATGGGATTATATCACTGGGTTTGTATAACTTTGGTGTATCAGAAAAAAATTCGATGATGTCTGCCTGCCAACGTAATCTTCCTAAAAAGTTACCACAGTACAACACGATTGTCATACCTAATTTAATCAACAGAAACTGCGCTTCATCTTAACATTCGAATCGCCCTTGCTAAGTGGTAGATTTGACAAAGGCGGCGAAACCGATGCTTATCAATCAACAGATAACTTTTGTGGTAACTAGAACATACGTTCATTTTATTGAATATCGACTAGCTGTTGTTGTATGGGGGATGAAAGTCCAAAATGTTACGCCTGTTTTGGTATACCCAATTAATCGTTCAATGTACAACTAAAGCATTTAGGGCCGTATCGTCAGTCGTTCCTACAATTGTAGGAGACTTAGGTACCATTATGCGCGATTATCGTTACATTTTGCATAGGTGGCATTCGCTCAGCTGGGCGCTCTGGACTGTGATGCCTCAAATACCATGTATTCTGTTTCAATAGATAACATGATGATGCGGCGAACTTAGCGCGCTCACGCATTGTTCCAGGGCTGACATTTCGGGCGCAGGTCTTGTTGATGACGATAGATGAATAAATTCTGTTCTAATTAGCCATTTAAGTCAATCCTGAGGTAGCGGCCGCTAAATACAAATTTTCGCACACAGGAATGCGCGCCTGGTTTCTTTACAGGAACATTTGAGCTGTTCATTATCTGCAAGTGACAATACTCCCTCCTCTAGGCTCAAAGAAGAGGGGAGGGGCGCATGCTAGCAGATATTCACACTTAAGCAAAGAACTCAGGAGTACTCTAACAGAGGCTTCCATTGATAACTGTTCTTCTGAGTAAGTCTGACCAGATAGATCAGATCAGATAAATATGAGCAGCAACCAAAGGTCAAAAGGCCGGACAATGAACTGACATCAGCCATCACCGATTATTGCAGGTCAGGTACGTAGATCAGCACGGAGATTGACGCGTATTCGTCATCAATGATAGAATTAAAGTCCTAAGTTGCATCTGAGGGGTCACTTGCCATTCACATGGCGACCGGTTCAGACATCTGCCATTGCCGAATCTCATCTATGAACTACCGGCCTTCGGAACAACAGTTTCTCAATTGCTTAACTGCGGTGCTGTCAGCAAAAAAGTTGTTAAAAATAAAAATCAGCCATTATCCACCGTTCTCTGGGCCCCAAGTCTGATGGGTCAATACGTTTGATTTCTTACCTCAAGACACTCAGTTTGTTTATAGGGATAAAACGCTTAAATTAGAAGACTAATGAACTGGGATCAGACTTCTCCGTGGAGATACTTCCTTAACGAATCTGGATTTGGTATATGCACAGATTTCGGTACCCGTTAGGGAGAGCTATAGAATATATTTCAGATTCATATTATTCCTATTATCATAAGGGACAGCTCTTTCAATACAATACTGTGCCGTTTTTGGCATACCTTGAGGAAAAAGAAATATTTCTAATAGTATTCCTTTCTGTTCGGTCATGCTGATAGAGATTGCCCGAGTAATATCCGGGCAATAGTTAATCAACTACAAAAAAAACCTGCTTGATCTCCAGTCAAAATTGGACACTTTTAGGCCCAGTATTCAATTGTGACAGGAAGCAAGTATATTTACTTGACCGACCAAGGCCTAGGAAGGGCAATAATTGACAGCAATCAAGACAGCGTCCGATACTTTGCGGTAAGCGACGGGATCTTGGTGTCAGCTTGTCTTGCATTTCGTTATAGCCGACTATACACTAACGAGTGAAATTTCTTGCCCGGTAACATTCTCAAGGGAATTTTAACGCTACTAGGCCACTCACATCTGCACTAAGTTTTACCTCGGCTGGTGATCAATGAATCTTTTTGGTAACCCGAGAAGATCCCGCATTCCAATCATCTGGAACTACTCGCATTTTGCGTCGGTCGTGAATGCTTTGCGCCCGACTTGAGGGGCTGTCGAATATGATACCCTATTTATGATGCGACAACTACATCCTACATCAATAGAATGGGATGCTTCTAGTTTCCACGCGGGGCCAGGTTGTGTAAAGAGAGAAATCTTACTGCCCTAGCCTCAAGTATAAAATCTAGGAGTATACTGATATAAATCAGCTTTTGCGTCAGTGGGACGTAGAAGTGAAGTGGTAGCTAGACCTGTCACCTTCCTGACCCTGATCTTGAAATTTCTCACCTCACCGTGTGATAATAAATTGAGATATAATTGTTTAAGCTATTAGTCTTTTACCCAAAATGCTACTAACGATGCAGGCAAAAGATGCCTTCTGAAGGGCGTTTACAGGTTGAGCCCATCTTAACCACCTGAGATACTGTGGTTGTTCTCGACCAACCAGATCAGTTGCTGGTGATCCCTGTAGATATTCGGATAAACAAATCAGCAACACTGCTAGCCCTAATCTCAGGTCAGAGTGTGCAAACTCTGCCCCTTAATTGAAACAGACAACATCAGGGTCGGGTTGAATGGTATTGAAATTGGAATTTCTCAATTTTTGAAAGCCTCAGGCCGACTCATGTGGCAACCATTTTTAGTTTTACCGTATTTTACGCCCAAATATCTGTGCAGGCAAAGTATTTATTTGTGACTGTAAAGAAACTTCTTACTACCTCTGCGCAGGCTAAATTATAGTGGGCTCATACTCACGGCAGGCTGGAGCACGTTTTCTGAGACACCTCACAAATTTCTTAGGCTAAACAATAGCTTTGTTCAAGCAACATTTGAGGTAAGTCAAGTCTCCACACCTTAAATACAACATGTTATTACGTTATTTGATTGTTGCCATGTAACGGATGGTATTTCTATTCTTGAACCTGTGTACGTCTTATTACCTGTTGTTAAAAGCCCAAACTTGGTTGTTACAATGGAATTGTAAATTTAGTTGCTATGTTACCGGCAATCTGTATAATCCGGTATTATATACATTATCTATGTAATGTATAGAATTTCTAAAACGTGTAGGTAATGTATGAAATATTATTTGTTTTATACTTTGCCTAGGTATTCTATAGAATGCCGAATGCGCAGCCGGTAATGTATGTAAAAGACGCAGTTGCAACAAATACTACGATAATAAACAGTGTTCTTGTCTTAAAAGTAAGATTTTGTGCACTTCAAAATGACATGATAGTTCCTCATGTATAAATAAAGAAAGGTGTTTAAATGATGTTGAGTTTAAATAATATAACTTGTTTCATTTGCCTGTCATTTTATAGGTATGCCGGCTAATATTGATAAATTTAGACCAAGATCTATTTATTTTACGCATTGCCGGTGGAACGGTAGGTACTCTATTATACAGATACCTACATTGCGTACATTTTGTGTAGTTGTGTACAACCTATCGTTTACTATTACAGAGCGTTAGTAGTATGTTGTTGCAACTCGCTTTGTACATCTACATATCTATTCTATTTACGAGACAAGGCCAGAACACAATTGCATGGTCAAACAAACTTACTTACCTGTAAGTGATGTTAGATCTTAATTATGTGAAGATATCGTCGAAGTAAGTAGCTCACTTGGATTTGTAGGCCAGGGGCCGGAGAGGAGGAAGGCGGGTGTGGCCGCGGTGTACCGCTGCGTGCGCGCTTTGAACTGGTGGGTTTGGTCGGAAATCGGATACTACACTTACAGGTAAGTTCGTTTGAACATGTAAGTGATATCACCTCAAAATAGAGTGCTGACGCGGAACAGTAGAAACCTAGAAATACCCTTGCCTTTCTGAAGTACGCGAAAAACTGTGAGCATCAAGGAGGCCATAAAGGCGTCCTACAATTGTAAGAACGACTAACGATACAGCCCTTAGAGTTAACATGATATAACGTGGCTTGTGAAAATACTGCAAACATATGCTTACCAATCCTGTACACTGTTAAAAGATTCTTCATTCGTAATGTCATACATCAAGATGAAGCCCATCGCGCCTCTGTAATAAGCAGTGGTGATTGTTCTATATCGTTCTTGTCCTGCAGTATCCTGCAAAAGTAGAAAAAACATGTATACATGGTGGTAATAACGTATTTAACTAAACTTTAAACCTCAGAGGACGATTCTGAGGCAAAAAGTTTGTATACCGTATAGTAGAATATTATTCGACGTAGAAGTACAAAATCCCCAGAAGCCAGGTCCGTTGGATGAATTTCTGGGATTTTATGTATATTAAAAAGTTTACATATTAGCTTTGTGCAATTTTTAATTTTCAGTTTTCACTATTTGGTTTTCATTTTTATTTTCAGGGTGTCAACAGTTCTTTTATATATTTTTGATGCCTCCTATATCACTTGGGCGAAGAAACTCTGTGGATCGGGGCGAAAGTAATCACGCCACTGGTTTATTTGCCAGTTCGGTCAGGGGACATAAGGTAGAAGAAATTATCCTGTTGTTAGGCTAGTAGATTTGAGGTTTGCAACTAGAAGCAAATCGCCAAATAATAAAACTCCCGGAATTAAGTCCAGATGTGGAAATACACATGGATTATCAGAAAAACATCAAAAGTAGTATATTATATCTACTATACAAGTATTGGAATATATTTGGCTTCATCAAAATCTGCTGCTGTTGATGAATTCAGGGCAATCTAGAAACATTTTACACCTTCCACTTTATTTCTGTGAGTTCCACATTTGGTTGATTCTTAAGCTACAGTCTCTGAAATTGCTTATCAACGAACACGCGAAAATATTGGTTCATCTGAAAATCCCTTGTGCTCGCTCACAATGAAACCAGTGGAGTGCTTACCTAAAATTAGAAATATCAGGTTAAGATCTTATAGCGCCGTGCATTAGGTAATTTAGTTGGGGATAGACAGCACATTAAGTCCGTTATCGACTAGTTCACAGATTCTTAACTAAATCACTCAGATAACTCGGGAGAAATAAAAAAATCAATGTTATAAAAATTAAATAGAAAAACTCCTATCCCAATAAGCAAAAATCCTACGAAACCGCATAGGTTAATACATGGAATAAATCATATACAGTCAATAATTAAAAGCGCACAAAATTAATAAGAAAACTTTTTTAAATACACTATTTTAAAAACGTTACACTTGACGACTGGAAAATCCACTAATTCGGTAATGCTTTGTTCTCAAGATACAGGCTGTCAAACTTTATTGAAGTAGCGATTTTTCGTGAAAACCTCTATAATGCTTCGATCGTTTCTGTTGAAATCTACTGATTGAATTTTTGCATGTAGAAATATAGCGCTGGAAATTTCAATTGAATCGAACAAGAAAAACAAGGCAGTAGCACCGAAAGCATCCATGAACATATTTTACGGATTTAAATATAGCGATCTACGTGTGGTACTAATTAGTGTAGGACTGTACACTGGTCATTTGCGTCACCACATGAGCAGGCTGGGCATGTCGGAAGACGCTGAGTGCAGACTGTGCATGGAGGGAGATGAAACGATCAGGCATGCCCTGCAATTGCCAGAATCAGGTGCAACATACTTGGAGACGTAGTACTCCAAGCAGAAGAGCTGAAGGATATTTCTCCAAACAAGTTAATCGACTTCCTCAGGAGGTCGGAGATACTGGGGGAAATATAAATAGGTGTTAGCCACAATAGACCAAAGAGTCGCAGTGGAGGATCGTTATTGATGCACTCACAAGAAACCCAACCTAACCTAACCTAACCTAGTATGATCCGTCAGTATTTACCATGACATGTGATATTTATTGACCATGTATCCTGGACGTCAGTAACTACTGATAAGTGGAAATCCACTGACACTGATGGAGTCATTAGTAAATACTGATGAAAAACCGTATATGTCTGTGAGCTTATACAACCTAACATCCACACATAGAAGCAGATTGTATATGTATGTGTAAAAGAGTTGTATGTATAAGAGTAATTTCTATAGTTTTACTGTGATCCGTCAAAAACCGTGGAATGACCTAAATGCTTATAAACTTTTCTTGGAATTAACCAAGGAATCACCCCTTGAAATTTGGCCAGGTACTGGGGTAACGCCCTGTGCAGGGCATCTAGATAATTTAATTTAGGAACCCTCCTCCTTGATAGAAAATGCCAGAGTGAGTCCTTTTACTTGTAGGAGCCCGGGGAGGCGAGGGGCTCTGCGAGGCTACGTTGTAACATAGCTCCTAGAGACTTAGAGAAGAACAAATGTGTTACGGAGATCATGACGCCCCAATGCCTTCTTTTTCTAATGGTATAGTAGGGCCCAAAAATCGCTCAGTCAGAGGTCTGCTTCTATATACTCAGCCCATCGGGCGCCCCTTACAAAATTCTTGCTCCAGGCTCCAAAGATCCACCACTGACTCCCGTAAATTATTCTTGGACGTTTGAAAATATATTGATTTTCAAAATTTTCCCCTACTTGCTTCTGGGCGGATCATGATAGGAAGCTGAAATTTGGGATAACGAAATTGATGCGGAATACTATATTTTAACTTTAAAGTAATAGCTGGAAATAGGCGCCCCCTTGGAGACTATGCAGTTATCATCTTTCAACTGGCAGCTGGCAGTCTATCAAAATTAAGCTTTATAACACAAAAATCAATCATCTGATAGCTCTGGTATGTCATACCAGTCTTTTTCTCTTGCAAGGATCTATCCGAATATGTAATAGAATATGGAACATTCGATTAAAATAAATGTGTGAAGTGTGTAATCCGTTTGGCACGAGAACAAGGAATGAGTCTTTGTACGAGTACTTAGGCCAGAGGCCGGAGAGGGGGCAGGTGAGGTGCGCCGCTTTCGTTCACTGCATGCGCACTTTGAACTCGTGGATTTGGTCAGATACGAGGGTACTACAATATATATTCTATTTACGAGTCGATGACCGAACATAATTATGCATTACTGTATAATTTAGCTTAAGTTGACATCATATGTCTTAATTGGGTGTTTGAAGCGGACTTTTCTTAACTCTTTTTAAATTCACTTATTATGGATAAAATATCAATTACATATTGTTGTCATATAGTGTCATGTGTCGATTGGCGATTCTGTCACACCCTAATATAGCTGGTTATTTTACAACGTGACACTATTCGATTGTACAAACTTTTTGCTCTTTTGTCCAGGTTTCTTGGTTGCTGAGCAACAACTATGCATCTTCAGTTTGACACACGCAAGGTCCAAAGAGCATACCAATCACAACATTATGACTGTAACAAGATTCACATTATCTCGCTTTAAAAGCCATAATGGAATATCGTTTACACCATTTAAGTTACTTATCCATCATGTAGGCACACACACACTAATATTTATTTTGATCATTTTTATCATATTAACTATACCTATTTACATCAAAACGATATTTACAGCAGTACCATGATATTTCCGAAAGATGCAATTTTATCCTCCCTGTCCCTGTGAGCTGATATGCACTTATTTGTACACCTATGTACAATACAGCATTTGTAAGTCGATCGTTTGACCCAAATTTTGACCGTTTTTACCGTAAATCTTAAATACAGACCAGAGCAACGTTTGTAAATAACTCGAAGTTCGTAGAAGTATCGTTGTCATTTTTTAAGATATTTAAAGAAAATCAGTGCTTCACTTTACTTTATTCAGACTATCATTTTAGAGTGTTTCAAAAGTATAAAGCTTTCTTATTCTATGGTCATCCTCATATATCATTAGTTACACTATAACTGTACTAATAATGTGTCATAATTTTGTCTTGTAATGACGTTTGCTGTACAAAATAGATCCATGAATGCTTGCAACGCGGCAATCTGACCATGGAAAGAATTTATTGATTGAACCCCCATATGAGAGTTAAATTTAGTTAGCAAGATCAAACCGCCATGCCATACCGACGTCGATGTTATCGGTTGAGGTCGGACAGGGAACGGAAATTGTCTTTTGCTGATTGGCTATCACAAAGGATCATTAGCGTCCATAGCACCATACATATACAGGGTGAATACCGTCAGCCTGGAGTTCCTCCCAGCCCCTCTATTGAAACTTGCAACTATATCTATGGTTATTCATTTTAATATGGGATATGTGCCATTTCTACAAACCAACTAGTTGGTCCAATAATCATTGGCGCCCTCTATAACTCGGCAAGCGCCCTTCGGATTTTAATGAAATTGCACTAAAATATTACTACTATGCCCAGAACGTGAAAGCTTTGTATGTTTGGAAAATCGATCTACTGACCCAGAGCTACGGGCAAAAGTTAAAAAGGGAAAAGATAAACATCGCACAAACGTTTCAGAAACTCTTGATAATTTTTTTATTGAGGGGTAATGAATCAGTGGCATTGGGTTGCAGAGCGTAGGCGCGGATATACCTTAATTTCTTGGCATCATAGTCTGTCAGATTTGTATTTTTATCAAGGACTCATTTGAACAAATTTGTATGAAATTTCGTACGGATTGCCCAAAAGGGCGCCTCGCAGACACACATGAAATAGAAAAATACTTTCGGTGAAACTGAATCAGCGCTTGTCAAATGTATAGACAAAAAGCGCCCTTGAGGTGTGGGTCCGGAAACTCGGTTTTCAGTCAGAAATGGATAGTTAAAAGTCAAAATGTCAGCAGTTGTCATAGCTACATAAAAATAAAATACAGGATAATCTCCAAGATACGTATTGTACCAGCAAATATTTTTACTAGTTTGTTTAAGAAGTGCCATACAGACCGCCCTTACAATGTGGCACTTGGGCCTTTGACTCTGCACTTCTGGCTGAAAACTGAGTTTCCGGACCCACGTTTCACCGAAAGTGTTTTCCCGTTTCTCTTATTTCTCCATTTTGGGTGCTGAATCCCTTTAATGGCGGCCCGCACGGCTAATATCTAAGAAAGCCATAAGACGTCAAAAAAAGAAAACGACGAAATGTCATCTCCCAGATTAGGTAGTTTTTTCATGGCCTCACAAAGCTGTGGTACCTTCAGCTATGCTTTTTTCTACATTATGAAAGGACGGAACTGTTGATAGCACAACGGTGAAAGTTGCATGTTAGCGGCTCATATAGCCATATAA